AAGTGAGTCCAAACGTGGATACAACTCAATGAAAATGACAATATGGCCACTATATCTTTTGTCTAAATCCTCTATTTGAATTACTGAAACACATTTGCACATTTAAAGATTATTTCAGGAAAAACCACATCTTTAAGAGAAGTGAGTATCTTGACTCTGGGGCTTCTGTCAGCGCCATCCAAAACCAGTGAAGTGCCTGATTTCACTTGGCCCTGTGCTACGATCTCTGCAGTATCACACAGGCAGCACTTGCTTCTAGAACATCAGCTGAACAACTGCCAGAGAGCAGCCTTGACTATAATTTTGGATTTATTCAATCAGGTGGAACATACAGATGTCAGCAAAATTGTCACATATTCTGACATCCTGGCCAGTCCAATCATGCAGATACGTAAGCAGGCCATGCCTTGCCAATTGAACTAAAAATCAAAGCTGGAACAATTTTGGAGCAGTTCTATTAACCCAGGCATAGAAACATAGCCCTACACCTGGCTCTGGAGTCATGCCAACAGGGATGATCACATGCACATGGATGACATGGTGGATGAGCAGACAGTACATTAAACCCTCTCAATAACTCTCCTTTAAACTGACTGCTGCACTGACCAGAACTCTCTATACCTTCTATGCAAAAGACCAATTGGTGCCCACTGCTTGCTGCCCACTTCAGACCCATAGGCTTCCCCCTTGTACACTGGCGTATAGCTGCTCCACTGATGGACTTTTACGATTGCCAAGAGTTAGTCACTTCTGCCAGTTGTACTTATTGTAAAAAAAATAATTTAATTAAATATTAAATAACAAATTGGTTGAATATGAATACATAAAAGACCCATGTTTCTGTGCAAACTAGAAGATTTTATAAAATAAAATTATTAGAAAAACTGCTATTGGAATAAGTGTGACTGAGAAAACATTTACAAACTTAGAGAAAAATATGGATTCATATCTAGAAAGACTCTAGACTCAGATTGCCTGACAAGCATCTTTAAGCAATCGGCTTGTTTCAAAAAAAACAAAACTAGAAATTATTAGTGATGCATTATGGATGTGACTTAGCAAGAATGATGTCACAGAACTCAAAACAGCAGACCAGTTCCCAAAGAAAAGACCTGGACCTTTTTCCACGAGATTGAAGAATTGGTATGCCTTTATGGTTTTTTGATTGTTTGTTTTTATTAAGGTATCATTGATATATACTCTTATGAAGGTTTCACATGAAAAACATAGCGGTTACTACATTCACCCATATTATCAAGTCACCCCTAGACCCCATTGAAGTCACTGTCCATCAGTGTAGTAAGATGCCACAGAGTCACTACTTGTCTTCTCTGTGCTACACTGTCTTCCCTGTGACCCCACACATGCCATGTGCCCCAATCATGATACCCCTCAATCCCCTTCTCCCTGCCTCCCCACCCGCACCCCCATCCCCTCCCCTTTGGTAACTGCTAGTCCCTTCTTGGAGTCTGTGATTCTGCTGCTGTTTTGTTCCTTCAGTTTTGCTTTGTTCTTATACTCCACAAATGAGTACTTGTCTTTCTCTGCCTGGCTTATTTCACTGAGCATAATACCCTCTAGCTCCATCCATGTTGTTGCAAATGGTAGGATTTGTTTTCTTCTCGTGGATATGCCTTTATGTTTTAAGTTAAAATAAAATGTATAAAGTGTTCGTGTACCTGTTTGGTTTTGGTTCCTCAATTCGACTAACTTTTTCTATTAACCAACCAGGTTTGGGGCCATCAAATAAGGCTCTACCTTAGTGTGAAAACAAGGGAACAAACAACAGCGAAATATGTTTTCCCTAAAGGTCCAAGACCCAGATTGAGGGACAATAATCCAAAAAATCAGGAACTGTGGTTTTGATGACAAAAAAGGGAGACAAAGTTGTCATTTGTAGTGACAGGAATCCAGACCCTGGACAAGAGGGGACTCGAGGTAACAATGTGGCCACATACCCGACCTCTGGTGCCCCCCTCCTAAGTGCAAAGAGTTCTTGGAACTAGGACAGACCCTCCTTGAGATCAGACCTCATGTATTGATTACAGGTGAAGGTATCGATTGAGACTAAATCTGTGGTATGAAATAAAAGATTTCCTAAAAATAAAACAACTTTCCATTTTCTAATGGTCATCAAGAGCTTTGTATAAAGTGGAAGATCTTATTAAAAACTAGTAAACTGAAGTTATTGCATCAGCATTGATTTCTTAGTTTCAGGAATGATATTTTAATTACATAAGAACATATTCTTGTTTGGGGGAGATGCACGTAGAAATATCAGGGTGAAGTCTCGTGGTGTCTACAGTCTACTTTTGAATGGTTTGGGAAAAAAGTTTGTGTGTGTGTGTGTGTGTGTGTGTGTGTGTGTGTGTGTGTGTGGGGAGAGAGATGGGAGGGTGGGACAATATGTTAATAGTTGATAAACCTAGATGAGAACATATATTCATGTTCATTGTACTCAGCTTTTCAACTCCTCTGGGGGTTCAAAATTTTTCCAAAAATTACTTTTATTTCCAAGAAACTAACAATGAATTAGTCTTGTGTTAATTTTAATATGTGCTAAAATAGTAAAGCTTCTCATGTTATTCTTTTCCAGTTCAACCATAGTTGTATAGTTCTCTCATACATTGAGAAGACATACTCACAGCAGCCCCAAAAATGGCCATATAATTCATACACCTTAAAATTCCAGGTCCAAATTGGATGTAAACAAATTACCAGTTTTCCATCCACTCATTAGTCTATTCAATCAATCCACAAGCACTTGTTTAGGACATACTATATGCCAGAGTTACTGATGCCAGTAAGACCACATAGTCCCCACTCTGCTGGAGCTTAGAGTGATATACATTAAAATATACATTAAACATATAACTGCAAGTAGTTCATAGGAGCAAATAGGAAGGGTGCCTGATTTCATCTGGAAGAGTTCAGCAAACACTTGTTTTTCAACCTACATTTGAAAGATTTTCAGTAGTGCACGGCGAATATGACTTTTCCTCCAAGAAATAAAACCCAGCTTGTCTCATGGCCTCCAAGTGCCTCCCCAGAGGTTAGGGGATTGGTACTGCACTGCCTCCCCCCTGTGGTCCAGAGATGCTCAGGAGGTATTTTTAGGTCTGGGGAAAGCAGAGTCCGAGATGCTCATTGTCCACCTGGAAGTGGCGGCCTGCGACAGCCGTCTAAACGTCAGCGCCTGGGCCTTGTCCTGGCTGAGCGTCTTTCCCCTGTTTCTGGTCCCCTTGGGTGGAGGACCTGCTGCCTCTCCCAGATGCTCTGTGGGAACGGCATGTTGGTCCCTCCGCTCTTGGGACCAGCTGCCCACAGGAAGTCACACTTCCAGAAACAGCAGCCAAGAGGTGTCTTGTCTCCAGGCAGCTTTTGCCTTTAGCTCAGTGACAAGAGCATCCTTACTGTGAGAGGCGCACAATCCTGGCTACCTTCTTGGAAGACATCACGGACAAAACCAGACTGTGAATCAGTGTCTCCAATGAGCTCGTCTTCAGAAACCTTCAGAGAGTTAGCTCTGTCCTGTAGGCTGGGATGGGGTGTGAGCTTAGACACTCCCAGGGCCTCTGAAACAGGCCCAGGATTTCTGATGCAGCGCATCTGGGGTGAGGCTGAGAGCTTGAATTTCTGACAGGTTTCCAGCAGCTGCTGCTGATGGTCTGGGGAGCTATACTTTGAGCACTGCTTTAGTAGCGGATACATAGATTTGTGATTCAGATGAACATAAAAGTTTAAAACTCTGGAAAGACAAGTTTAAATAATTAAGTCAAGATATGACTTAATGACTCAACATCTGGGAAGAGAATTGGAAAAATTGAGTCTTCTAAAAAAATATCAAATATCCAATACTTGGGGGGAAATATAGATTTTCCTTTTCAATTAATCACTTTCCAGTTATATAAATCAGAATGCATATCAATGTGGTGAGGATGAGTTCTGAGTGTCAGAAATTCCATTCCTTGAACAACAGCGTAGCTTACTCTCCTATGCTCAGTAAATATATTCAATTAAAGATGTTTCTGTTTGTGCATTTTTATTTTGATTGTACAGATAGGGTCCTCCGCTTTGGAAACATCTGAAGTAGTTTCTTTTTCCAACCAACCAGCCAGCATATCTCCTGCACCTGCCCTCCCTTTGCCGTCCAAAAATTAGGTTTTTCTCCCCCCCCATGGAAAATAAATTTCTTTTCAGTCAATATTAACTGGAAGGAAAAACATTTAAAGATAAATATATAAAAAGATAAATATAGAATACTTGTCAAAATTTTTTTCAACTCACTATTTTAAACTACTTGTTTCTGATCCCTGCTGGCAGAGAAAATTTTAAAACTTGACCTTCATTAGAGTGGACCTGCGCTTATGTTCTAAGTATGTCAAAGAGACTAATTAGGATAAGAGTTACCAGGCTCACAATTTTTGCCTTTTTTTTTTTACTAAACTAAATTTTTACTTCTTTTTTTTACTAAGAAAGAGCCTTTTGATACTAATATTAGCGAATTTGTTCTCCTAAAGACATATAATGGATATTGATCATCATTTCTCATTCTTGAACATTATTTCAGGAAAAGAAAACCTTAGAATCACCCATAGAAGATATCACCAATTAATATATTAATATACACACATGCATATATTACATTATGCTAAATCTAAGAAATCTGCCAACATTAAACTGGTATCTACCTACAATGACAATTTCATATGGCTCCACTGTATATTATTCTGAAAAAAGAATAGCTGCTTTGTCTTTTCCATAAATATAAATTACTTAAAAATAAGTATAATAAAAATATGTACATACATCTAACAGTTCTCCTCTATGCATCATCTCAGTTTTGTGTTCTATTTCTATTAATATATTGTCACAGTATCACATGGCTCCTAATGAGTAGTGTTCAGTGCTCAAAAAGAAGAAAATATGTTGCTTTTCTCTGTCAGACAGGATTTATTAAGCTGTTTTTAAACAAAACTTTTCTTTTTCCCTCTTTCTAGGTCTGTGTCTGTAAAGAGAAAGGCCAGTGCTTCTGTGATGGGAGCAAAGGGGAGAAGGTAAAAACAAAACCCTTAAGTACTAAATACTTAATTCTTTTTTCTATAGAGATCATCAAGGAATTCACACTTTAGTAGCTGAAAGATTAGCATTGTGTTATTCCACTTCCGAAATCCACTTTTAAACTAATTGCATATAAACGTTAACATAAGAGGGGGAAGGGAAGCCTTCTAGGTAGCTTCAGATAAATTGTGTAAATAAATACCAGCAGTTAAATTGTAACTCTCTTGGTATGTAAAGAAAAAGTAGGAAGTTAGGGAAAAAGAAAGTTTATAAGAACGCCTCCATACGTAATACCCCTGTTTGAACAGACAGGAAAGAAGAACTGAAAACTTGATTCACTCACCTTGATTGATAGATACTGAAACCTGCAGGTTTTGTCCTGCAGCTTTGGTGCAAGCGCGCCCCCTGGTGAAAGAATCCTGCAGCAGCACGCTGGGGGAGGCAAAAATTCAACTGAAGGAAGGTTTTTCTCGCTTCCCCAAAATTCACATTACACCGCTTCGCTTTTATCAAAGACCTCGATTGGTACTTGGTTTCTTTAACCATAAGAAATTCAGAGAGGATTTTCACTTTTAAGAAAACGTGTTTAGCATACTGACATAGTTCTTTCGTAAAAGCGAAGTGGCACAATGCACTTCCGGAAAGCGTTGCATCCATCTCTTTAGACCATTTTGGTTTAGGAAATGTTTGTTCTACTTTCAGATAGTAGGGTAAGCCCGTAGCTCCATTGCAGAATTCAAAGAAAAATAGAAATGCCGTGAAATCTCATTAATTCGCTCCATTAACTTGCAATTTGTGGTAATTAAGATAGAGGCAGAACTGAAGTTTTTTCTTGGTTTATAAAACTCCTCAGGGGCACTAATGAATTGCTTAACAATATTGAAAGGTAGCTACTTACACATATTTTTAAAAGGACATGTTTTAAGCTCTTTCAATAAAAAAATTTAAACACAGTTTATATATTAACTATAATTATTAATTCATTTATGTTTAACTATAATAATTGCTATTGATTTAGGTTTTTTCCTGAAACTATGAGTGTAATATATTCAGATCCATGCTGGAAACCTGTGATTCACTCTTGCCTTCAAGAAGCATATATTGATTGATTCTCTACTAGTGCAAGATGCTATTCTAAGTCTGCACATAATTGGTGCTGATACACAATGTGAAGTAGCTGACTTGATCTCTCTTTTTAAATCTAATTTGCAAATTGTGTAATGACATCTACTAAATCAATCAGGTAGCTTTACTGTTAAAGAGTAATCGCAAGATCCATGCGTAGGAGAAAATTATTTATTGGGAGAAACATAATTTAGACTCATTGGGTCTAAATTACCATCACTCATTCATTACTAGGGGCTTCCCCGTACTGTCATGTAACTTTTTCTAAAAAGCTGTTTAGCTCATACTTTCGGTTATGCCTCTCTTGATATCTCCTGCATCTCCTACACAAATAGCAGATTGAATTACTAATTCCTGTGTAATCAAGAAAGGACTAAAACTCATAGCCTGCATGTTGTTCTTTTCAAGCTGCAGAGCAACTATGCACACTCCCAGGGCACATTCTTGCGCTTCACCCTCACTCTCTCTCCATCCCCCGGCCAACATGCTCCACCAACCTTGACTTTCTAACTGGACTTTTTCCTCTACCTTAATCTCTGCTCTGTGTAGCTCTACCATTTGGGAAAAGCAGTTTCTACAAGACTAAAGGCAAACACTTTCAAGCCTATAGACAAATATCAAATATTCACAGCTGGTAGATATCCAGTTGCTATTATGCTTCCTGTGGAGCATTGATTTTCTTTTTTTTAATCCAAGGTGGAAAAAAATAAGTCAAAATGTTATCATGAAGTCATTAAGAAAAGAAAATAATGGTTATGGGTGTATTTATTGCTGGAAAGTGCTGGTTCTTGTCTTGTTTTGTTTTTAACAGGGCGAGAAAGGCTTTCCTGGACCCCAGGGTTATCCTGGCCAGAAGGGATTCCCAGGTCCTGAAGGCTTGCCTGGACCACAGGGGCCCAAGGTATGTCAGCCTGTAAGCTTGGGAAAGCCCCAGGCCACCTCACTTTGTTTATGCCTTCCCCTGGGCTGCTGAGAACCTGGAGAGAATCCTCCATCTCAGCCAGTCGGTGCCATGGCACAGTCATTCCTACCCTTCCATCCCAGCTGGGCCTTCAGAACTGCATCTTATTCCAAGGCGATTCAAATGATCCTCCTTATCTTCTCGAGTCCCCTACTTGATTGCCTCCAACTCCCTGAGCTACACAGTTTCTACGCCTATTTGTCCTACAGAAAAAGATGAGTTCTTTTCACCTTCCACTCAGGACCCAATCCCCACCACCACCACCACCACCGCACATCCTGGAGTCAGGGGATCCCCACTAGACCCCTGTTTCCCTGGTGTCACCCCTCTCAAATGTGCCAGTTCTCCCTCTGATGTTGGCTTTTCTCTTTAGTCTTTAAGCATGCAAACTTCCTGTGCTAATATTAAACTTCATCTAGATCTTTCAGATCCTGAAACGAAGAGATTGCCAGCCTTTTCCTGTCTTTCCTTTCTGTCAAACTTCTTTAAGAAACATAACTATACTGGCTGCAGCCCATCTATTCACCCCTTCCATGAAAACTCTCCTGCAGAGACCACCCATGACCTCCAAGTGGCCAGTGCCAAAGGCTGGTTTTGTGTCCTTATCCGACCTGAACCACTGTGTTTTGCTTTCAACCCTGTGGCTCATTTTCTTCTCCTGAAACAATTGTCTTTGTTTCTGGAATCCTTCTTACTCAGATGCCCTTCTTTTCCCTTCCTTCATGAGTTCCTCTTGTTCAGCTGGTCCCTTCAACATCAGGGATCCTAAAGTTCTTACCAGAGCCTACTGCCCTTCACACTCACCACACACTTTTAGCCTAAAGTCTGTGGTGCCACAAAGAGCTTTGTTTAAGTAAATAGCTAGAGGATTTGCTACGTAACTGCATATAACCACTAGACTTGCTGATGGCTCTTTCCTGCTGTGCACATTGGCTGGACTCACGCTGGACTCGCACGCACACACAGGGCGCTCCCGACTGCTGGAGCTCTGGCAAGCTGTGAGTTAAGTTACCAAAGGTGATTGTAATAGATTCCCACAGAGTCTTCTTAAATTTAATAAATATGTGTAAAATATTTAAATGGTAACCGAGGCAACATTCACCATGAACTTCTGTGTCAGACATTGGGACATTTATTCTTGACTGCATCTCACTCGGTCTTCTTTACGAGGATCCCATAACTCACGACTCTGGTGAGATATTGTTGTTTCCATTGTAGAGGAGGAAACTGACACTCAGAATACCCAGAGTTACACGGGTAATTGGGAGCAGAATCAGAGCTCCAATCTGGTTTTATGTGATACCAGAACCCAACTCCTTAATCAAAGGAACTAAGCCCACACCTACAGTTTCCAAAGAAAAATCAAAAGCTTGTTGTTTTTGAGGAACTCTACCACTTCTGGACTATCATATTCATGCAAAAATGATACATGAATAATTCAAGAGTTCTGTTTCTCCATTTCTCCTTCTTCAGATCCTAATTTTGAAAAAAACAAACATCACTCACATTCTGGACATTTAGTGTCTGAATTCAGACGCATGCAGTGTCGGGACATCCCACAGCCTTCCTCCAGGGCTTGTACTCAGATGTTCCTCCACTTCCCTGGGAGAATAGTTTTGCCACGTCAGTCCAGGACTTGGGTCAGGCTAATGCTGACTCCTCCTTCTTCTGTCTTCTACACCCCATTCTGCCCGTGTCCTTGGCATCTCTTTAGAGAAGCCAACAATAAATTGAAAGAGCAATTGCCAACACACAGTGCTTCCTCTGGGCCATGTGGCATTCAGGTATTCCATAAAGTTAATCTGAAAAATCCATGTGCTGTGTTGTCAGGGAGCTATAGTATTAAAGTGGAGCTTCTAGATGGAGCCACAGAGATCGTGTGGTCAGAGTCAAGGGCAGACACTTAGAGAAAGTAAGAGCCCAACCAAAAAGATTTTTCAAGTTTATGTATTTCCCATCTTAATTATAAACATTTTCTGCATGAAACAATTTACAATGGGAAAGTAAAAACAACCCATTCCTCTGCCTTCTGCATCATACAAATAGCAGCCTGCAAAGGGGGAACACGGCCAATGTACCCAGGAATTGCATGTCAGTCAGGAAAGGCTGACTTGGGCCTTGACAGTCCAGTCTCAAAAGAGTGTGTAGCAACCCTTTCCCCCCAAAAAATCAGAAGTATCATAACATCCTGAAACTCAGGAATGATGGAAATGGCCTTTGGGCCTGTAACTTTCACACTAGTGGCCCAGTTAGAACAGTCTCCATTTACATTTATTTTCCAAGAAAATGGCCTCAAAGCAGCATTTCTGTGATGGAAGCAAGTTTATCTCTGGTTCAGGCAGTTCTTACTTCACTGTGTACTTATATGTGTGCACCAGGCCCATTTTGTTAATAAAGTATTTCTCATGCACGGAAATACTGGCTGCTATTCTCGTCCACCTTTGTAACTCTTGTCATCCTTATCAGACCTCAGCAGCTGTCTGGCTAATGTGGGGCTTTTAGAACAGCCTTCTCAGGCCTTCATGTGAACAAGAATCATCCTCTAATCTTGTTGAAATGTAGATGCTGACTCAGTAGGCCTGGGAGTGGGGAAGACTTGGGATTCTTCATTTCTAACAAGCTCTGAGATGATGCTAATGTCGCTGGGCCCTGGACCCCAGGCACAGTAACAGAAGATGCAGATTTGTTCATCCTTTCTGAGAAATGTTTTAGCTGCTATGAAATAAGCAAGCACTTGCCCAGTGTTAACAACGAAATAATTGCAAGAGCCAAGCAAGTTGGCATGTGAATAAAACCGGGGCCTTTACTTTAGGGTTTCTTGGTGCTGAATAATTTTCACACTGTCTGCCTTTCACTTTCTCATTTGGATCTAGGGCACTCCAGGACGCCCAGGACTCACTGGTCCCAAAGGTGTAAGGGTTAGTAGTCCAACCGGTCCATCCTGAAGGATGAAAATTCTTCTTTGTAACAAGAAGAGCTCTCCACTGTCAAAGTTGTACAAATGTCACAAAGGAGTACATTGTGCGTAGTACACTTGTATAGAGGAAGTTCAAGAACAGGTAAAATTAATCCAAATCCATGTTGGTAGAAGTCAAAACAGTGGTTCTGTGTTAGGAGTAGATATTCATTGACAAAAAGGGCACAAGGAAATATCTGGAGTGGTGGAGATAGACGTCCCGTGTCTGCAGGGGGTGGTGGTGATACCAATATGTATGCACACAGATATATAAACCTTCCTCAAGCTGTGGAAGATCAGAATACTTGGCCTGTATGCAAATTATACCTTAAAAATATATGCAAAAAAGCCAAAAAGAATATTAATTGTCTCTTTAAAAATTATGTAAATATAAGAAGTACAAAAATTTGCCAAACCTTTTTTTGTTTGTTTGTTTTTCAAATAGTTTTTAGCCATTCCCAATTATAGTGGCAGGATGGAGTTAATTAAAACAGTAAATAATTTTATGTTTAAGGTTGAACATTTTTAAAGTGTTTTATCTTGATACCCATTCCTTTTCTTTTTCTTCAGGGAATAACTGGATTACCGGGATTTTCAGGTCCTCCTGGACTTCCAGTAAGTAATGGGGAAAATGTACAAATGGGAAAATAAAAAGTAAGCTCATTTTATTTTATTTTATTTTATTATTAAGGTGTTATTGATATACACTCTTATGAAGGTTTCACATGAAAAAACAATGTGGTTACTGCATTCACCCTTATTATCAAGTCCCCCCCCATACCCCAGTGCAGTCACTGTCCACCAGTGTAGTAAGATGAAAGTAAGCCCATTTTAATAAAGCTGTAAAGCAATAACACAAAGAAATGGCTACTGACACATTCACTACCTGATGAAAACAACATGATAGAAGCACAGAGTGTTTTAGAGTGTGGATTTGTAGGACATCAAGTCAAATTGTATTTCCTGAAATATAAGCAGAAAAGGATTAGGACAGGATAGGACAGAACAGAATAGAATAACTTTAATAGCCTAGGATAATAAAATAATAAAACCGTTACCTCTGTGCACACTTCCCTCTTCTTTTTCTCTTTTTCTTTTCCTTTCCTCCCTTAAAACAGCATATTAAGGGACTTCATTTTACATAGAAAAATTTTTGTTTTATCTAAAATATCTGTATCTCACATGAGCTAAGTTTGGTTTTAATTAGCCCATTTTACTTGCTATGATTTTATTTCAATTAATATCTAAAGTAATTCATTTACTACTTAACTATTTAAAGAGCCATTTATACTAGATAACTATCTACATTAGCCCATCTTGCCCCTCACCTTGGGTTCCCCACGGTTTCTACCTGGTTCCGGGGTAGGCAACGATGTCTCCTTTCCAGGGCACCCCAGGCCATCCTGGACCTTATGGACTTGCCGGTTTGCCAGGATGCAATGGCTCTAAGGTAGGCGCTCCTCACACGGGAGATGGTGGCTGTTTTGCTGAATGAATAAATCAAGGTGCAGTCGCCATGTGATGGGATGGACTTTCCTTGAAACATCCTTTTGACCAGAACCAATAGTATGTGTCTGCAGGGCAGGAGCGTGGGGGTTTTCTTTCTTTCCATGCCTTGCTTTCTGACTGCCTTTGGAGAAGTTCTCTTATGTTCTCCCACGGAAAGATAATGGGGAGCTTGACTGGTTCCTTTCTTCTGGGATCATGTGTGTGTGTGAATCAGAAAGTAAATGGAATGCAAAACTGGTCTTTGGAAAAGCATGACAGCTGTTCGATGCTCGCTCATCGCTGTCTCCCGATTGTACCCTCCTCTTCCCCAGGATGGTGGCCATGAAAGAACTAATTACTAAAGTTTCAAGGAAACGGCAATTAAAAAGTTCTTGGCACCATTCCACTTTTGCCATTTATTATTATCAAGTCCCCCCCCATACCCCAGTGCAGTCACTGTCCACCAGTGTAGTAAGATGAAAGTAAGCCCATTTTAATAAAGCTGTAAAGCAATAACACAAAGAAATGGCTACTGACACATTCACTACCTGATGAAAACAACATGATAGAAGCACAGAGTGTTTTAGAGTGTGGATTTGTAGGACATCAAGCCAAATTATATTTCCTGAAATATAAGCAGAAAAGGATTAGGACAGGATAGGACAGAACAGAATAGAATAACTTTAATAGCCTAGGATAATAAAATAATAAAACCGTTACCTCTGTGCACACTTCCCTCTTCTTTTTCTCTTTTTCTTTTCCTTTCCTCCCTTAAAACAGCATATTAAGGGACTTCATTTTACATAGAAAAATTTTTGTTTTATCTAAAATATCTGTATCTCACATGAGCTAAGTTTGGTTTTAATTAGCCCATTTTACTTGCTATGATTTTATTTCAATTAATATCTAAAGTAATTCATTTACTACTTAACTATTTAAAGAGCCATTTATACTAGATAACTATCTACATTAGCCCATCTTGCCCCTCACCTTGGGTTCCCCACGGTTTCTACCTGGTTCCGGGGTAGGCAACGATGTCTCCTTTCCAGGGCACCCCAGGCCATCCTGGACCTTATGGACTTGCCGGTTTGCCAGGATGCAATGGCTCTAAGGTAGGCGCTCCTCACACGGGAGATGGTGGCTGTTTTGCTGAATGAATAAATCAAGGTGCAGTCGCCATGTGATGGGATGGACTTTCCTTGAAACATCCTTTTGACCAGAACCAATAGTATGTGTCTGCAGGGCAGGAGCGTGGGGGTTTTCTTTCTTTCCATGCCTTGCTTTCTGACTGCCTTTGGAGAAGTTCTCTTATGTTCTCCCACGGAAAGATAATGGGGAGCTTGACTGGTTCCTTTCTTCTGGGATCATGTGTGTGTGTGAATCAGAAAGTAAATGGAATGCAAAACTGGTCTTTGGAAAAGCATGACAGCTGTTCGATGCTCGCTCATCGCTGTCTCCCGATTGTACCCTCCTCTTCCCCAGGATGGTGGCCATGAAAGAACTAATTACTAAAGTTTCAAGGAAACGGCAATTAAAAAGTTCTTGGCACCATTCCACTTTTGCCATTTATGCACAATTTGACAAACAGTAGATTCTAATCCTGTTGTCAATTAAAATAATGGTTTCCTGGCCTTCAGCGTCACAACCCAGTAGCCGTAAGGAATTTGGGTTACTCTGTATAGATTTACCACTGCAGGGTTGGAAGAGAGAAACAGGGAAAGTATCTCAATAGGTTGTTCTAGAACAACTAAGAAAGAATGTTGAACTTTGTGTGTCTTCCAGGGTGAACAAGGGTTTCCAGGCCTCCCAGGCACACCGGGCTACCCAGGGATCCCGGTAGGTGTACATTTCCAGCTCTGCATCAAAGACACGGACTATAAATACAGGTAGTATATTCTAGAATGGCCATACACTGAAAGCCATCACGACCCTGTGGAAGTCTGGGACAGACATTCAACTTGTAGGTGTGGAACGAATGAATGAATGCTTTGTGAGTTCAGGTTTGCACTTTGAGGATTCAATTTGTTTTGAGACATCCAGGTGGAAAGGGGGAGTAATTGTATTCACTCAGAAGAGAGGCCCAGGATCGTGGTGATTCAAGGAGTGGGAATGAGGAAGAAGAACTAGAACTGACTTAGCTCCGGCATGATGTCTAGGTCAAGGAGAATAAGCCTGTAAAGAGGAGTGGCCCTGGTGGTAGAAAGAACCAGGAGGAGTATATTTGTGGCAGCCCAGGAAAGCTATACTTCAGCAGAGGGGAGTGGTGGACAGCTGCCCAGTGTTGCTGAGAAGTTCAGGAAGAAGCCAAGTTTTGTCACCGATTTGGCAACATCCCCGTCATTGCAGACAGCAAGGGCTACTTCCAGGGTGGAGAGAGGTGGGAAGGCAGACGTGGGGCTGAGCAACGATGGGGCCTGAACAGAACGGGAAGTTTGCAGAGAGGTCAGCATTGGCAGGGGGAGAGGAAGGGGGGACTTTGTTTAGAGGAGAGTAACTTGAGCATGTTCCAGATCCAGTGGGAAGTACGCAGCAGGAGAGGAGGCAGAACCGCCAAGAGGATACAGTAGTGATGGCACGTATTTGGTTTGGCTCCAATTGTTAATATGCTGCTTTTTTCCCAAGGGTGCTGTTGGTCTGAAAGGAGAAAAGGTGAGCCATGGGTGGCATACCATTATTAATAATCTCTAATTGTACAGATGTAAAGGACTTGTATTCAGTTATGAGATACAAGTAATTACAAATCAGGTTTCATCATTAATTCAGAAACCATAATTATTGGAGCAAGATATTTATTGCTATTCAACAACTTCTAGCTCTTCTTATAAATGTGTCTTAAGGAACACCAGTTTTGTATCGTCCCGAAGGAAATGGAGTCTGGGAGAAGAGAACAGACCTCAGATCTCAGGGCCCCACATTCTAGATCAGGAATTGTCACTCGTTTGGGTACCTTGGGGAATGGTTTATCATCCTTGTGTCTATCTTCCCTCAATGGTCATTTGTTAGTAAAATGTTTTGAATTCTTAAAAATGGAATAACTCATAATCCTAAATCATTTCCCTAAGTATATAGCCTAGAAAGCTATTATTTTTGAAGGAGTATGACTTTGAATAAGTGTATAAAGGGTTTTGAAAATACAACATTGATTATATTTGATGAACTTCATTTTCAAGGGTGCTCCTGCTGGAGAAGGTATAGAACGTGACGGAAAAGGTGACCCCGGATTGCCAGGAGCACCAGGATTCCAGGTACCTACAGCTCCTTAGAGAAGATCCCCTTCATTCTCAATCTGTCTGTCTCTGTCTCTCTCCTTGTCTCCTCTCTTCCTGTCTTTGTGTCCCTGTCTCTCTCTCTCCTCTCTCTTGTCCTCAAATATCTTTCCCATTCTCTTAAGAACATTTTGCTTTGTTTTCTTTTTTTTAATTGAGATATAACTGACATATGACATTATATTAGTTTCAGGTATACAAGTAATGATTCAGTATCTGTATATGTCACAAAATGATCACCACCGTAAGTCTTGTTAACATCCATCACCAACATACTTGCAAAAGTATTTTTTCTTGTGATGAAAACTTTTACAATCTACTATCCTAGCAACTTTCAAGTGTGTAATACAATACTGACTATAGTCACCAAGCTGTATGTTACATCCCCAGGACTTACCTATTTTATAACTGGAGGTGTGTACCTTTTGCACCTTCACCCATTTTGCCTACCTGCCATCCCCCCACCTCTGGCACCCACAAGAACATTTTTAAAAACATTCATATTTCTCCTACTTACATATCTACCTCATTTCACTCTAAAATACCCACCTTATTAAAAGAAACTACATGAAACTGATACAAAAATATGATTACGTACATATGCCTTTTAGTCTCTTATTAAATCTCAGTCACCCAAGTAGACATTTTCAGGGCCTAGTTAAGGTCCCTTTTTTCTGTATTTGTTGAAATCAAGGATAGGTTTGTATCATATACTAAATGTCATTTAAATCTGTAATCTTAAATAACAGCCCTAGTTTAACATTTGCATGACAGCAAACGACATGGTTAATCTAAATGCCTGTTCTTCCTGTTAAACAGTTTGCTTTCCAATCACCCTGTACCCCGAGGGTGATCCAGAGAGATCCAGAGAGATGCAGTTGTTCTCAGAGCTGTGGATGTTTTACTTTGTGATTCAAAAAGAACTGAGTCACAAGTACTAACCTTCTGGCTGAGTAACCAGAAATATTTTAACTTACTTCACAAGTACATGTGGAAATCACTGGGCAGAGACTGGCATTTGTGTGAGTCAAAGAGTTTGAGTGAAGGTTGGTGGCCTCCTATATGGTGAGCCACACCCAATTAATGATGGGCTGAAAAACTGCAGAATGATGCAATTAGGAGCTGTGATAGGCTTTTGAAAGAAGATACAGAATATGATGGCTCTTGGTTCTTTTGCTTAGGAAACATTTAAGGGGCCAGATGCTGAAGGCCAGAGATCCAGTAAGAGGAGATAGTTGCCATCTGGGACGTGGATGTGTCCTTACATGTACTGAGTATTGGCCGTGTACTACATTGTGTGGCTGCTGAGGATAACAGTGGGCTGTCCATTTTTTCAGGGAATATTTATTACATGCCAATTATGTGCCAGGGCCATTCTAGCCTGTAGGGATACTAAAAACATCAGACAAAAACTAGTTTAAAAAATTTTCGCCCTCGTGGAACTTATATTCTAATAGGAGAATATAGGAAAAAAATGTAAATTAGTAAGTATGCTATATTAGGTAGTGATAAATGCCATGGAGAAAACCAATGCAGGGACAGGGGAGAGAACAGATGCAGGTCAGGAAGATTGCAGCTTTAGATTGGATGGGCAGGAAAGGCCTCATGGAAGGGATTTGAGTAAAGCTAAGAAAAGGGAGAAGTGAGTCATAGCGAATTTCCATGGGGAAAAGGACTCCAGGCAGAAGGAGAACAGGTAGAAAGCCCCATGGCAGAAACATGCTTAGACGAGAAAAAGAGAGTCGGAAGAGCAAACCTTCAAAAAATGTTATAAACTCTTCTAAAGTAGAGCAATTGCTCTGCTCATTTTTCTGGAAATGTCAAGATATTCCTGGCAGTCTGTTACATGTGGCAACATACTTTTTGGCTTTTCTGTAATTACCTGAAGCTATCAGTGGTCATCATGCTCCCAGATTGCATTAAAATATTTTAATGAATTTAAATAATGGGCATTATCTGATTAATTTAAAGGGTTTTCCCGGCCTTCTGGGTTTTCCTGGACCTGTTGGTCCACCTGGCCCTCCAGGATTCTCTGTGAGTATGAAGTCAACACTGCTATAGACACTGTAAACTAATAAATAAATTATAGCTAAAAACTTCAAACAGAGTATTTGGCTTGGTGCATTTACTACTGTAATTTTAACTTATGGCTTTTTCTAGGGCTTTCCAGGAACCATGGGACCTCCGGGACCTAAGGTAGGTCATAGGTCACATGTCCCATCCGCCTGAATGTTCTAACCAATCTGTAAGCCAAACCTGGTCTGATTCCACACAGGGGTCACTGCCAGGCGTCTCTCTGGAGCTCACAAGGATTCCCAACAGGGCAGGGAGTATGGCTGGCAGCTCTGCACCTCTTACCTCTCTTCTCCCTGAACTTCACTAACCTGATGCCTGACACAAAGAGTCATGATTCAGTTATACGATGGCACTCCGTATCAGGAAATGGGCAAGTCCATAGGTTTCCCATTTCTTAGAATCCTACTGATTGCCCAACACTTTATAAATTTTTATAGTGGGCTTCCTCCTAAAACCAACCTGACCTTATGCTAGTAAACACAAGACAACTACTCATGTGTTCATTAAGCAGGGTCCTGCATGTCTTTCTACTAAAAAGTCCAGTTGTTAGTGTTGGGGAGGAAAAAGCCTTTTTCCTCTATTCTCTTGTGTTCAGTGACAGCCATGCAAATTGAACTGACAAAACTGAACTATGAACTAATTAATAGAAGAAAAAAGGTTTTTTCATATGCACACATGGGCCTCACAGAAGTGAAATGAAAAACCCAAAGAAGCTTGTATACCATTTTAACAAAGGGTAATAATTTGTGAAAGAGTGACAAAACAAAAAGGGGTTTGAGTTTTTAGCGGCAATAGGCTGTAGGAAGGTAAATATATGGGGGAAACCAATGGAATATAAGGTTTATTTCAGTAAGGTTCGTTGTGCAGATTTAAGTCAGTACCATGTCCAGTGAAAAGAGCTGCCACATCTTCCTGGTACAGGAGAGAGGAGACCCAAAGGGAAATTTATACCCTGCCTTTAGGCAGATACGGGAAGGGTAGAGGACTTCTCTGGGTTTGCTGTTCCTCAGCTGCATTCAGCTCAAAATAATTCTTATGCCAACATGATACATTTTGGGGTGGCATACTCTGATCCTCTTCATTAAGTAGGAGAATGTTGAGTGAGGCTAAACCCCACTAGGAAAGAAGTACTAAACACAGTATCTTTTACTTACTTCCAGGAAGCCTTTGTATGTAGGGTACTTCCCAAGGTGTTTCACATTTAGTGTTTCATTGTGGTAATGCATGTATGTGTGTACATGCATGCGTGTACACACCCGTTAGAAGTAGATAGGTTCAGGTTAAGTGAATTGTCATATAGACAGTAAATGACAGAGCTGAGGCTTAAAGTCCTTTGAGTCCTCACCTTGGGCTTTTATCTATAGGTTGTGAGCTATTGGGGGAAAATGTTCATGATCCAGCAAAAAAAACAACCAAGGAGACATTGATTGAAATGATAAATTGGCCACTGTTACCGACGAGAGACTATCCACATTAGACTTATCTCATCTCACTAAATTACTAAATTACTAAAATTACTAAATAAACTCACTAAATTACATCCCTGTTATTTTTTAAGACAAGAAAACCAGAGCATAAAGACGTTAAGTAACCTGCCAACAGGACCAAAATCAGCTAGTGGCTGAACCACACGAATGTCCTCTGGGTTGGGTTCCCTTCCCCACCTCACATTTGCTGTATTAAGTAAATCTCTCATCTTTGTGCATGTCAAGATCTCCACTTTTAAAAGAAACATATTTCCAGTCTACTCCAAGTAACAGCAAAAATAACATTTGTAATACTAACATTATGATTAAAACATAAATGTTCAATTATAAACATTGGAATTTTAGGGGTTTATACCATTGATATTCATTTTTTAAAAATAATTTTGTTTAATCTTTTCTTACAGGGTCACATGGGTGATAACGTGATAGGACAAAAAGGAGAGAGGGTAATTTAAATCCTATGGTTTATGTATGGAGAAGACACTTTTAAGTCCCGTAACAGTCAACTTACACGTTCTATTCATTAAGTCACACTGAACGGAATGTGTTGCTGTGTCTCAAACTTTAATTTGCTTTACTTATATAAGAACCAGAGGAGGAAAAGTAGATCTCTCAAATAAAGAGGATGTTTAGTTTTTCATTCCTGAGTGTATTTTTTTTTAGGGTGTGAAAGGATTAACAGGACCACCTGGACCACCAGGAACAGTTATCGTGACACTAACGGGCCCGGAGAACAGAACGGTAATGCTTCCATTTTATTATTAGGGTTGGGCCTTCCCACTGTGGGATGAGGTCCTTGTGATCCCTGACCTCTGTGATAAGCTTTGTCATCTCAGCCCAGCTCAGCCCAGCCCCCTTTGCCAACCTGAGCCTCTGGATTTTATTCTTTTCCTGTCTTTTCCTGGAAAACCAGCAAAGGTGAGACAGGGAAGATCTCAGACAAGCATCTTCCAAGATTCTTGAACGTAGAGCCTGGATCTAGTTTTGCTCACCCTTTATCCCCATCCCTCTCATTGTCTCTAACACAGAGGGGTGTTCAGTGAGTATTTTTTAATAAAGGATAACAAAATGGTGTATGGCTATTATCAAATTGAATAAAAATGACTTAGAGCGGTATCAAAACCAAATGGAACATTTTTACCTTGCCATTCTAACCCCAGAGACTATGTGGCCACATTCCTCCCAAAGATGTTAGGACCCTATTATTTTGACATTAACATTTACTTTTTGCTTCCACTGTGCTGTTACTAGAAGGGCCAGGGTGTGAAACTGAACTGAATGCTCAGAAGAAGGGAGTCACATAAAATATGCCAACGCTAGACACTAAGTGGTCCTGGAATATCTTGAAAGGGGAATGAGAAGTTGAGGGGGAAGCTAACAATTTTCTTATGGATTAACTAAGAAATAAACATAAACCATACTTCTCTTTTAAATTTATGATTATTTTAATAATAGTTTGAGATATAATTAACATACCATAAAATTCACCCCTTTAAATACTAGAGTTTATGGGTTTTAGTTATAATTAATTTTTAGCAGCATCATTGAGATATAATTCACATACCATAAAATTCACTGGCTTATTATACAATTCAATGGCTTTGAGTAGATTCATAGAAGTGTACAACTATTGTCACATGGGATTTTAAAACATTTTCATTTCCCCAAAAAGAACCCACTTAGCCATCACACTTCCATATAATTCATTTTTAATGATAGAAATCACCAAAACAAAATAACTTAAGTTACAACGTGGTGAAATTTGATATGACCTAAATAACTATCACTGAAGATTGGGGAAAAAATTGGCCTAAGGAAAATAACTGAACTTTTCAGAGGTAATCAGCAAAAATTAAATTAATGTAAGTCTAGAACTTTATTGACTGATAATTGACAGAAAGAAATCTTGACAAAATCTGTATGTGAAAGATTTTACTGAGGGGTTGGGGGAGGGGCAAAGAGTTTGGAAAAATGACACCCTCAAGAGAAGACTGATATTGGGAAAACTATAATCAATAAAATGTGAAAGCCCAAAACAAGTCTCATTAATGAATGAAACCCTCATTGTAACATTTACTCAGAAAGTAAGTAACTTCAATGAAAATAATTTCAGTATATTAAAAATGAAAGTAAAATACATTAAAAACAATCTTTCCTTATAGAAAACTGATTTAGGAATTAGTTTCATGTACTTTGATCAAAAGGTGCTTACTTTAAAAAAAAGTTTGTGTATCGTTTCAAGGATTTCACAGGTATAAAATTTGAAATGTGGAAAATAACTGGTTGTGTTCACAGGAGGTACAGAAGTAGTTTGTAAAGTCAGCTCATTGAACAGATAGAGGAAATCTCTAAGTATGATGGGTAAAGTCCTTGTTTGATCTGTTTGTAATGACCTTAAATTGTTTTTGTGACAGGACCTCAAGGGGGAGAAGGGAGACGAGGGAGCCGTGGGAAAATCCGGACCTCCTGGGCCCTCGGTAGGTCACGTGTAGTCATGCTGTTCCCTGGAGCCTTAGTACATATTTTGATGTGTGATCTACATCTAAAACTTAATAGGAGCCAACACACAACGATACTTCACTGCAGAGGTCATGATTTTACTGTAATTGTTTCACGACCACTTCTGGCTGAAACGTGTGCGGTTTTACCTGCACCCAGTGGCGCCCATCTAATGATTGATCTTCAGCATGTGTTTTTTAGTATCTGTTTTCTAATTAATGCTGACAAGATTCTGCACTTAGATGACTCATCATTTGTACATTTTTAAATAAAGCAGACTAATTAGGAGAAAATTAATCAAAATCAATGAAAATTAAAATTTAATAATTCCTAAAACTTGACACAATTCTAATGAATACAGGGACCACCTGGCGAATCTTACCAATCTGAGAAAGGTGCCCCTGGAGAACCTGGCCTGCAGGTGAGTTGGCAAATCCAGTGTCCTGTGCAGCCTATACTGGTCAGTTCACAGGATTCTTTAGGTAGCAAGTATAAGATACCCAACCCAAACTAGCTTAGATTTCTAAAAAATTTTTTAAGGTTCGGGAAGTGAGACTTACTTGCTCTGAAAAGTTCAAAATTAAACCAGGCTTCAAGACTGCAGAGCCTGAAACAGTACGGGCAGGACCCGTTCCATCTCCTGGGGCTCCGCTCTGTGTATGGGCCTCATTCTCTCCTTTGACAAATGATCTTCTGTGTAGGGGGTGATGGGGAGAAAAAGCAGGATGTGGCAGCAGACAGCTCAGGTTAAAGAGTGTGTGTCTCCCTGGGTCCACATATAAGCCCCCAGAGAATCGCTCTGATTAGCCCAGCTTGGTCACGTGTCTCACCGTGGGAAAGTGACTGTGGAGGATAAGGTACTGGGGGGAAGGGGCTGCTGGGAACCACGGGGAGTGAGGGGAGGGAAGACGGAGACGAGCAGTGGAGTGCTGGGAAGGCAGAAGCAACAAGGGCTCTCTCGCCCATCTCTATTGTGGAAGGATTTAAACACATGTTTTGTTTTAAAATTCTAAAAATTATATACTAGTAAAAGTATATTTTTTTAAGAAAAAATATTCAACCAATATGATTTTTCATTTTATCATGGATGGTGAATACCATAATAGATAATCCAAAAGCCTTGTCTGTTAAGACAATGCATCTTTTATACATATATTTATATATCTTTTATACATACAGGCACATCTGGAGTTCAGGGAACTGCCGACATTTCCAATAAATAGACTGCAAACCCTTCCTTCTTTCTAGGTTTCCTTGTTCACTCCTCTGTTCAGTGCTTCCTTGAGATGCCTTCCAAGCTTGAAAGGACGGAATTAACTTTAGTTGAGGTTTAGCTCTTAATTTCCTCTTTCTTTTACTGACCCTCCGTAATTTCCCTAATTCCGACTGGCTTTCGCTTCCCTGGCATGACAAACTCACGCATGCTCTGTGATGAATAGTTTTCCCTTCTAACAACTGGGCGGGCAACCTGCGTCAGGCTTTCTTGCCTGAGATCAACAGGAGAGGATGCTGTCATTCAAGTTTTCCATGTTTATCAAATTGAATGTTTTTGTTTTGCTTTCGTTTTAGGGAAAACCAGGAAAAGACGGTGCCCCTGGTTTCCCAGGCACTGAGGTGAGACATGATGTGCCCCACTGATGTAGCAAAATCAGAGGAATAAGGGTTATGGGCCAACATAAGTAGTTATGGGCCAACAAAAAGCATGTGGCTTTTTAAACTCTGTTGGAGAATTATAGTTTTACACCCTAACTGTGCAGACGTCAACTGAGCACACTTTTTGTTTTTTCCAAAAGGGAGGTCAAACTGCCCCTGCCTCCTACAGAGGAAACTGATCTGTGTGTCCCAATGTCTTTGCTCTTTTCCTTAGGGAGCCAAAGGCAGCAAGGGCTTCGCTGGGCTCAGGGGTGAAGATGGCATTAAGGTAATCTCCCCCCTGGCATCCTGTCTTCAGCCTTTTTTAATTGGGTGGGTTTTGTCCGGCCTTTTCCCCTCATCACCTGAAACTGGGTATAAGGAATTGCAATCAGAGTTCATGAAAATGCCTTAGCCTATTAAGGAGAAACGAAAGACATGGCAACTTCACTTAAACACTTACACAGTAGTCTTGTGGAAAGATAATAAACTTTTTCTGTTTAGTAGAAGCTGGCTGACAGAACCAGTGGGATTTGAACTCCTCATGAGAAGGAGCTGGAAACAATTTACAGTTGTAGGGAGTTTGGGGTCATTCAAGGTCAAGCAAAGGCTGGACCCCTTGAGTCTCAACCAGGGTCACGATATGCTGTAAGGTCATGATCAATGACTGTATTCTATATCACGTATTTTTGACAACATGTTACAGACATTTTCAAACATTTTTCAAATGGAGGTATATATGCAAATTGAACATTTATCTATAATAATATCACTTCCAGTAGAATTCTGAAATGCCCTTTTGAGTAGGTAAGGGGGTTGGTCAGGTTACAGTTGGGACACTGAGAATTGCATGTAACCCACACCCTAGTTCTCCTGTGTTCCTAATCTGGGCGAGAACATGGGCGTGTGCAATGAATGTGAGCATCCTTTGAAGAAAGCAGCATGGAAGAAACTGAAGAACCACTAGAAAAGCCACACTCCTTCAGGATGTGGTTAATAGCCTTCCTGACCCAGATACGGTCCTCCAGGAAAATAATCTAAAGTCAGTGATGCCCTTTTCACTTTAACTCCGTTTCACATTACATTAAGATAATATTACTTTTGGCATCGATTTATTGCTTAACCGCTCATTTTGCCTTCTAATTATATCAAATATGTGAATGCCTTTGATAAATGTACTCATACTTTGTAACTGTTTCTCAACACAGGGGTGGAAAGGGGACACTGGCCCTCCAGGATTTCGTGGTCCAGTAAGTGCAATTAAAGATAGGATCAGTATAATGTTTGATCAAGTCCCTCAAAGTGTCTAAGAAAGTTTGAATCATTGTCCCTTATAAGAGATTTTACAGTATTTACCTTTTGGCAAAAAAATAGCTGTTGTCATTATTTGTCCATTTGGCAATGGAAAATATTTCTATTTGGTCCTGTTTGGCCTCTGGAAAGCACTAGTAGTGTCCATCCTGAGCTGTGGATAAGAAAACCTTTGTCTAAGACTTGGCCCATGGTGATCCCACACCCTTGAGTAAAGTACAAGGGCCACAGTGGAGGACAGCTGGGGCACGGAGGGGTCAAGGGGCCAGCTCCTTCTCTCTCCAGCTGCGCCCTGTTATGACAACTCCTGCAATTTCAGGCAGCAGAAGCTCGACCATGGGTTTAATGTAGGGCCAGCAAAGTCAATGACCCAGGCCAAGCTCTGTCTCAGCAGGCAGTCTCCCCTCTCCAGCTGGGACATGAATTTGACGTCTGTCAGCTCCCAACTGCAGGGTAGCCACATTCTATGTACTGTGACTCTGTAGCTAAATGAAATGAGTGAGTTACTCAGGCTCTGAGTTCAGTATCCCTTCCTCTCATGTCTCCAAAGACAGTGTTTTCACATTCAGTGTGCCAAGCAGGGCTGCCATCACGATTGTGCAGGTTCTACAAGATTCACGGGGAGTGGGGGTGGGGGCCTGTTACACATTCAGTTCTCAGACCCCGTAGACCAAGTCATTTAACTCAGAGCTGAAGCACGGTCCCAGAAAGCCACATCTTCACACCGCAAGTAAATGATTCAGTGGAAAAAAGTCCCAAATGCATCTATGGAGTCGCCATGAAGATGAAACACGCTCTTTCGTGAAAGTTCTGAGCCAACACTTGGCAAGGGCACACGTATGATTATGGTTTTATGATGTAGATTATTACATCATCATCATTATTATTATTATGAATTCCTTTTTTGTGATTTTTTGCATGTTGCTTAACCACAAAGCTTTTGTTATCTTTTACACAAGTCAACAAACTGGCCCTATACAGCATATGCAGAAACAAAACAGAGTTTTTAAAAACTTGTATTTCCATCTTCTTTTTTCCTTCAAGATAAATGTACTGAATTTCAAGTGAAATCTGTTTGCCAGTTGCACTTAAGAAGCATTCATTCACAGTATTCCTACTTTGCTGAATGAGTTTTAATTCTATAAAACTCTGCAGTTTCCATCAACTTCATTGGAAGTTCCTTTTAGGAGGTAGATGGTTAAGAACACCAGCAGTCAGTCCACTGAGCATGTGAGAAACAATAGTCCTTGGTTATTACAGGTCAGAGGTCCTGAAATGTAGAGAATTTTTTTGATGTGGGGGTCTCAACATGCTCCAAAATAAATTTAGTCCATGAAAACAAGCATTTTAAAAAGTTAAATGAAATATTTTTTGTATCAGAGTTGATCATATGTCATAATGTCATCTGCATGTCATCATATGTCCTAGGTCACTATTTTGTGAAATTTTCATTTTTGTACACATATTCACATATATAAACATATACATATACATGTGTATATACAAATGTGAGTGTGTGAGCTGGGTCACATCAAAAAATCTATTTCTAACTGAAAATCCATGAAATATATGATTATCATGATACCAGAAATATCAACATTTTTCTTCAAATTTATCCATTGCATATGCATGACTACCACATTCCTGCTAAAAACATAAACCTATGCATTCTGGAAAATAAGGCAAGTATTTTTTTGGCTAAAAAGAGGAAATTGAAGTGATTGCATTTGGCGAGCTACCCATGAATAACTATTCTTTCCCTTTATTTGTTCTTTTTCCTTTAAGACAGACTATTATGATGTGTACCAGGAAAAGGGAGATGAAGGAATTCCAGGCCCACCAGGGCCCAGAGGAGCTCGTGGCCCACAGGGTGAGAATAAATTTCTTCCTACACCATTTGCTGACCATGCTCATATCTTTCTTTCAAGGTGCTTATAGATCTAGAATTTGCAGGGGAAGAAAGGAGGTCTCCTAATTTTCATGGGTGCTGGTATTTTTAGGTGTCTCCTAATTTTCATATGTTCATATGAAAATTTCATAGGTGGAATACCATAAAAGGTCATTAAATGATCTTTATGAAGGAAAGCATGAAGTTCAAGTCTGGCAAGAAGATACTAACATGGCCAGAGGGCAGGAGTAGGGACTGTAAGAAGTCAGCAATTTCAGTGGGTGACAAAAGAGAGAATGGAGCCTGAAAAGCTGTAATTTGACCAAATCCACAAAAATAGTGACAAGGAGAACTGAAGCCCTGGTTTCCTGACTGTTGGCACCAAGAATTTAAGTCACACATACTTATATGCTATCCCTTTTAGTAAATTGGAAAGGTCTAAGCCAATAGCTCTCTTCTCTGACTACACTTCAGAATCCCTGAGAACTGTGAACTACTGGCCACGTGAAGGTCCCATCGCTGGGATTCTGATTTAATTGTCTAGTGGAGGGTCCTGAACACTGGTAGAGTGTAAAAGCTCCCCAGAATATTTTCATGTGCAGCCAGAGTTGAGGAACCACTGACCTAGGCAAATCATTGACATCAACAAGATTTCAAAGGAGAATTGTACTTAAGAGTAAAAATTCCCATTATATTTTAAGAAATGGGCAGATAAATATAAACACAGATACAAGTTTTTAAAAATCTGATATGTTTACTATAAATCACTCATGTGTATCAAAGAATTAGAACCCCATGCAACATTACAGCTAGAAGCAATTGATATGAGATGGAACACCAGGCCAAACTGCCGAACGTCGACAGTTCCAGCTGTTTGATTTTCTTGCATCTGAACCATCCTAGCAAAGTACCAAACACAGAGCAGGCTCTTAGTAAATCTCTGCTGAATTATTTGAAAATGGTCAGGTAGCACAATTCGTTTTTAAGTAGTGGATATCTAAATTAGTCTCTTCTCTGCAGTTTGTCTAAATAAATAACACTTTCTAATATTTATTTATGTGAGAGTAGAGAAAAATATTTATTGGAAATTATTACTATATTATCACATAAGATTTCAAAAATGGGGGAAGATGACTATTTATATCTTTGTCTGCAATTAACTGCTGTTCTGTATTCATAGGCCCCAGTGGTCTCCCTGGATTTCCTGGAAGTCCTGGTATGTACATATTTCTCAGGGTACCCATAGAAATGCTATTAAAAGAAAAATACACTGCTATCTAGTAAGTTTACACCTCTTACATAACATAAATGTTTCATCAATTGCTATAAAAGTGTCCCCAGCTTCTTAATTGTTAACTTTGTGACTTAAAACATAAAAGGGAGTGGCAACTGACAAAAATTGATCTAGAAGTGCTTTTACTTCCCTTTACTTCTCACACTTCTTAAGTGTGAGAGTAGCTTTGGTGTATGAACAGAAGCCTTGAAACGCAGAGGAGGTACAGAGACAGAAAACAATCATTTATAATAATTAGGTTGGTTAAAAATGACAACTTTCTTAATGTATCACAAGTTGCAGAAAGGTACATAAAATGACACTTTTTCTGTAAGGTTTTAAATTTCACAATATATTGTTTACGGATACAAAGACAATTCTGGAAAGTGTAAAAACACCCATGAGTCATTAGGGTGATTGCTTCCTGAGAGAGGAAGAATAGGAGCGAAAATGCAAGGTCGCCAAGAATTAACTTCAGTGGCTTCAATTACAACTGTAATGTTGTAATGTGTCATTTTATAAAGGAAACAAAACTAGGAAAACAAAATAAACCCCACCATTGATTGTATTTTTCTCTATACCATGTTGTACATTTAAATTATTTCATAATTTTGAAAATGAATTAGATTAAGCAGACTGAAGAATGGTATGGTATAATTCCATTATAAAAAAAATAGATAAGTGAATAAATATTTTGTGTATACTTGCATGTGCATGGAAAAAATACACATCAAACTGTTTCACAACGGGTATCACTTGAAGGTGGAATGGTACAAAAGGGTATCTAGAGGTCTGGCCAAAGATTAAGGGAGACTTCCATCTCCCTGCCAGGCCCCAAGTAATGACTAGGTTCCTTTCAGAAGCCAGTGAGTGAAAATTACAAGGCTCTCAAACAGGCATCAATCAGAGGGATTTGCCTTTGTGCTAAAATCCTCACTCTCAAAAATCAGAAATAATCAGCTATTACCCTTGCTGGTTTCTCAGCCATTTGGTGGTGAGGTCTCCTTAATGGTTACTGTTTGCAAGGCAGAGATTTCAGACTGTCCATCCTCACACCCACGATGCAGGAAGGACACTGGTTTTGTACTGCTGGGCATAGCTCCTCTCCCAGATTACTGCCTCCCCAGCCATGCCCCTTTAGACCTAAGACAACTGGCAGGAATATGGTCCATTATGACTTTGTCTGTCATCTGGGACACAGAAAGGTAGACATCTTCTAGTCTCTAACAAAAAAAAAATTACGAAATAGCATATCCTGAAGAATTTCTCATGATGTCCTTTCATATAAAAAGACTACAGTGCATCCCAAACTATGTTTCAGTCCCTTGTAATGACTTACCTTGTGGGAATGGAGTGTTCTGAGCCTTGCTGTACTCCGAGAGTTCAGTGAGGCCCCCGATGAAGGAGGGAAGATATTCACTTTTTGCTTTATATGCCTCTTGAATGCGCAACTTCTATAAATAAGAATATATCGCTTTTTGCAATTGAAAAATAAACACACACTTATCAGGCAAAAATTCAAAATACAATAAAATGATTGTTTTCTTCAAGGGTCATCAAGGCCTGGCCTCAGAGGAGCGCCTGGATCACCCGGCATGGAAGGAAGGAAAGGGGAACGAGGACCCCCGGGAAGGAACGTAGCTGGGCCTCCTGGGTCCCCGGGCTGTCCTGGTTCACCAGGCCCTATAGGGTCACCAGGACATCCAGGACCGCCAGGTAAAGATGCCTAATAGGGCCCCTTTTGTTCACACTTCCCATGACAGATATGTGCAAATCAGGGGCAAGGAACCTTACAGTGTGGCCCTCAGTCTGTATGAATCTGAGGCGTCATCTTGTGCTGCTGTTCATTGTCTTAAGTGTCTGTGGAAGCGGCTCTGGTGGGATGATGCCTCTGCAGGTGCAGCAGAGCTGCAGTCTGAGTTCCCCAGGGGGTAGAGAGGGAGGCAGGCACAAGGCCACAAGCAGGGAAGGGGTGTAAGTTACCAAGTTGGCTGAGGCCAAGGGCAACTGCTTGCTCAGTCCCTGGAGATTGTCATCCAAGAACTGAACAACTTGGTCTCAGATAATCTGTCCCAGGGGAGAAGGCAAGAATTTATCCACCAGCTTTTATTATTCATGCATCAAAGATATGTCTCACAGGTCCGAACTAACCCCCACACACTTCCAGGCAGTATTGACATAGTTGCCAGGGCATCCCATGCCTTGGGATCAGCCAGGGAAGCCCTAGGGCAAAGGGCTTAGAGGTATGCAAGATGCTACCAGGTGAAAGTAGGTCAGAGACCCCAGAGCTTAAAGTATTGGGCAGAAGCTGTGATGCAAGCATCCTTTCCTTTCCAACCACCTACAGAGCCATTTAGCATCTACGTTGGCTGATTGGTACACACAGCCTCATCAACATACAGGTCACTGCTTGTATGGAAAGACCTCTCCTGGAAGGGACATGGAAAATCTGGTGATTTATACTCAACTTTCCTAGTAGCTTTATGAATCTCCTAGGTGTCAGGGATTTTTTTTTTTTTTAGGCAGGGAAGGGTTTATTATTTATTAAAAAAATATGACTATAAACCTAGAAAATCCAAAAGAATAATCAGGAAAAGTCTTAGTGTTAATAAGGTAATTCAGTTAAGTGTCTGGTTATATAAACAATGTTTAAAAAATAAATAAAAGCTTTCCTTTAGGCTAACAGTAATTTAAGAAACAATCCCATTCACAAAAAGATGTCTCTAAGAAGAACTCTGTCAAGCTATGGTGTGGCCCTGTGTGGTAAACAAAACTAAACTAAACTAAAACTCTTCACCATGTGTTAGGGATTTTGACAGTTTCTAGTCCTCCAAGTCTTTTTCAAGATGCATAACTACTATCCTCATTTTAGTGACAGTAAGCCTGAAACGCACAGCACATGTAGCTATGAACGGTAGGCCAGGCTCTGGACCCCTGCATCCCTGCAGCAGTCCAGCTCCCTCCCATCACACACTGTCCTGCTTTCCTGCCTTCCCTTATCTAAGCAACACCTGGCTGCCCCTCAGTCGCAGCTTCAAGTTCAAGTCCTGCACCAAGTTTTCACTGTGCCCACGTCCTGGGACACTCAAGCTTATCCTGACTGTAGAATTTTTCAGTTTTGACATTGCCTTCTCTTTACCAATTTTCCCACCACACTCAAAACTCTTTGAAGTCAGGGACTGTGTCTCATTTGCTGTTTAAGCCCAGCGTGTAACACAGCGGGCTAGAATATTATAAGTACACAAATATTTGTTGAATTAAGTATGGAGTATGAAAATGGATAGGTCTATATAAATGTGTAACATATACAAATGTATAAACGTGTAAGTATACCTATACATCCACATTAAGTATAAAACTGCTATCAGATTTTACTGTTTCAAAATATCTATGCAGTCATCTTAAAGATGCAGACAACTGGATCACAAAATGGGCATTCCTTTCATGGTCAAGCAGACATAATACAAATACACCACCTTCCATCTCAATTAAATGTATCCACTGTTACCCTGTTGCTCTAAAATTTGGAGCAGCTATAGGTACTATTTTTAAATATTTGATCTTGTCAACATTGCCTTCAATCTATATGTGAAATGACAAGACCAAAAATGAGATTACAGAACACATTTTAAAAGAATTAGCTATTCACTATAATAACAGAAGAATTTATGGAAGACAGAATTTGCTGAAAAGTCCAGATCCTGACATAACATTCATGGGCTGTGGGCACAATGACAAACTCAACTGTTGTGAACTAGCCATAAGGAGAAAACAGATGATACTCTGAGTCGGAATGTTTTCCCTCAGTGTGTATTAAGCCTCCACAATATATCAGGAAGACACAATGTATCCATGATACACAGAAGAATGATATTTGACTCTTTGCCTAAAAATACTAAAGGCATAGTCTTGGAGTAATTGAAAAGTACTGAATTATAGCATGGCTTGATTATGTGATGAGAAATATCATATAATGAGTTTTCAACAAACCACTGCATTAATATAAAAAACTATCACATGTGTGTGCTGTGAAAGGAAACTGGCCCACATGCCTTTTCAGGCCCAAATAACCTTCCAAAGACTCAGCTTCCAAAACAAATACGGGGGGCATGAATATAAAATAATACATACTACTAAAACACTTGCTAATTGGAAGAAAACAACACTTAAAGAAACAAAAACTAGCTTTATTGTTATCTTTTCATAGGTGGCATCGTTTTTCGCAAAGGTCCACCTGGAGTTGGTGGATCTCCAGGCCGTGTAGGGTCTCCAGGAATCCCAGGAGTCGATGGGACTAAAGGTTGGTTCAGTCAATAGTGTGAATGAACCATTCTGATTGTCGTTATTATCATTGATTTCTACCCGACCCGTGAGATAACAAAGATCCCCAACAGCAGACAGGGATGGCTCCTTTTCCAAAATAATTACCTCAAAGTCTTCATTTACCTGTAAATCAATCATTTAGTTAGCACCAATGCAATAAATCATTGGATATTCCTAGAATGTGAGTTTTATCCTGCACTCGAGAGAAACACTGAAATAGATATTTTATACTACATTCAGGATTCTCTCTCTAAGTAAACATTAACAAGCTCAGATAAAGTGAGTAGATATAACAGATGCATGATTTTTTTTATTAACACAGTGTCTAGATAATTTTCACTACATGAAAAAATTGTAAATGTAATAAATAATTGTGTGATTGGACAATCTGTCCTGTCTGCAGACTCACTGTGGGTTTATGAGTAATGCAAGTCATGCTTTCATTGCAGGGGAACCAGGCCTTCTGTGCACACAGTGTCCTTGTGTCCCAGGGTCTCCAGGTCTCTCAGGATTGCCAGGGTTAGATGGCAGAAAAGGAATCCCAGGTACAATTTGCACACAAGTGTTTTGGCAGGCATGAAAGAGTCAGCTCAGTGGGTGGCAAAAAATGCATCAGGTTGTTGGAATTGTGATCTGGTTTACGTGAACTCAGAGATTTTCAAAATCATACTGTGTTAACATAAAGTAAGATAAAATTCCACAAAACTGGCATTTTTCCCTGTTCCATTTTAGTCACTGAATTCTAGCAAACTTTTCTGTTTTCCAGTAATTGTAAACTCAAGTAGAGGGTATTAGCAGGTAACTTGGAAAAGTGAAGCAACTATACTACACACACACCATTTTTTCTTCCATAAAGAAATTTAACTCTCTCCCATTTTTTTTCTCAAAAGACATGACTCTTCTCAGTGCATTTTTTGTGTCCCCATGTTTGATAGAGTCATGGACAAATGAACTGTTTCATATTCTTCTGAAGGATACAAGTACAATTTAAAAATATACCCATGGCCTCCATGCCAGGAACAATAGAGAGTGGTGAGGACTATGGAAAACTGGATGGCATTCTGAAAGGGACCCTTAGGCACTCAACTCCATGCTAATATCATTTTGCAGCATTTTAATATGTGTGTTCATAAATGTGTTAATACATCTTCCAATTCTGCATAAGAAGAAAGAAATTAGGATTTTTATATCAAACCTCATGTTTTAAAAGTATTGGCTACTAAATCGATTTCTGAATGAAAAAAACACTTCATAGGCCAATATTCTGAGAGCTAATTAGAGCATTTGTCACGGTGCTTGTTGATCTTTGTGCCAGACCGGGCTCTCTGGCCAGCATGTTCCCCCAGGCTGTCACCACCTCTGCTGTCTCCCTCCCCCTTCCTCATGTGTAGACCTGGCCATGAACAAAACCTGCAAGTAGAAAAAGTCTCTATTAATTGGGTTTCTTTTTCCCTTGTGCCACTGTGCTGGCTACCCAGGCCCCTCATGTGGTACCACACACAGTTCTGGTTCTGCTGTCACCGTCTTGGTCTTCAGACACCATCATCAATTACCTATCATTGACCAATAAGAGAGCAAGCTATGGAGCCCTTAGCCAGTGTGCTGGGCACTGTTCCAGGTGTCCTCTGTGCCTCCATGCCTGATGCCTCACATCAACACCAGATGTAATCTGTCATCAACCCCCTTTGACAGAAGGGGACGTTGACAGGTGACAGCTAATAAGCAGTAAAGCCTGGACTCAAATCCAGCCACCCTCCACCAGAGGCATGCTCCTGCCCTCTACCCTTGCATCCCTTACCTGCTGGGCCAGGGGCTGCCCTTCGAGGCAAATGAATCCAAAGATCCACCTGGCTCATTGATGAGGGAATATGCACGTGTGTAACCACCCAGCAGGCCTTGGCATTGCCACAGAATCTTGGGGAGCTGGGTCTCAGTCTAAAGAAAAAGGCCAGTGGTGGCAGTTGGAGGCACTGTGGCCAGCCAGGAGAGCACGTGCATTCGGGCAGGGGTCTTTGCCACCGTTGAATCCTACCCACTTCTCCGTAGCACTTCGAGCCTGTGCCTTCCCTGCACTGGGTTCCCTGAGGCTGGCTTGAGAAGGAAGGAGAGGGCAAAGGGCGGCGAGGGGGACTCTTCCTCAGGCCTTCCTACTTGATGCCTGCTCTCTGGGGGAAATGTTCTATTAAAGAAAAGCTAAAAGGGAGGAAAAGAGGGAAACATTTTTTCAAAAGCAACAATAATTTTCCTACATTCCCCTCGTGTGACCCCCAGCCCGAGGGTCGAGTGCATGTGAGCTCCATTGCTGTCTCTTCCTTGGTTTCTCTTCATTTGGCACATGACAGGTATGGTGCAAAGATATATAAGCAGCAAAACTGTTTGGATTACTATAAAAAAAAATATCCTGGCTCAGATCTCACAAAAAATAAAATCTGAATACACATTTGTCTATAAATTGACCTGTCATTACCCAAAAGATCTTCCAAAGGGACATCTTTAGAGAGATTTAAATACCTCTAGGTGGTATATGATTATACAGCAAAGGGCAATTTAGCAACAGATTTCTGAAGTCTTAAAAAAGTTTGTGTCTCTTTGTTCTTATATTTACGCTTTTAGGAATTTATTGTCAAGGAAATAACTGGATACTGTTGTAGAATTAAATCATGACATATTTATCATAGCATTGTTTGCAACAACTGATGTTGAAAAAAACAATCTAAATGTCTAAAGAATAGAAGTTAGCTGAATAAATGATGGTTCACCCATAAAATAGGCTACTATACAACTTGCAACCATTTCAAGTGAAGCTGTAAATCTATATTTATTGGCATATATACTTTGTATGATTCCAAAATAGTATATATACATTAGCCCTATGCCTTTATGCATATAAAATTTTATGAGTAATATGCATAGAAATTTTAGTGAATATTGTCTTCAGGTGGAAGATTTTTATTCCCCTCTTTCTGTATAATTTTTTCACACTGAGTATGTATTACTTTTACCATTAGGAAAAATAAATGTATCTCCTTAAAATTATAAAGACAAGACTTTTAGGAAGCTAAAATTTAAGAGTTCTTGTTTTCTGACATTATCTCTTATTCCACTTCTGTACTCCCATTATCTTCCTGCACTGTATGTTTTGAGATAGAAATTGTTTTTCTTTCCTCAGAAGAAAACGCCCTATTTTCTTCACCGCACTAGCCTGGCAACTCAGAGTTGCTGTTCAATGAATACTTAATAATTCACTGCTTTGCAGGAGGACAAGGGGCAGCTGGCATTAAAGGAAGCCCAGGGTCCGCAGGAAGTGCAGGTCTTCCAGGATTTCCGGTAAGAGTTCACAGCTTTAAAGCTTTAATTCTGATTTGGAAAATGAAGCACTCTGGGTTGTACCTCACATATTATCAGTGTTGTGCCTACTTAATATGAAAGCACTTAAATAGATAGTTGTTGATTAAGTGACTAAATGAATGATGTATGAATGGATAAGTGAATGAACGAGTGCATTCATGATCATTTAACATGATATCAGAGACAGAAGGGAGATCAGTGGTTGCCTAGGGCTGAGGTTGGAAAAAGGGATCTCTGACCTGCAGGTGGATGTGAGGACATTAAAGAAAGTGATATGTTTGCACACCAGATTGTGGTGATTATGGCATAGATACATAAATTTACTAACAATCATTGAACTGTATTCTGACAATGGATAAATTTTATGATATGTAGATTGTACTTTAATATAGTTGTTAAAAATCATAATTTATCATAATGAATATCATAATGAATCAGAAAGTTATATGGGGGTAAATATATTTAAATCAAATTATCCATAGATGCATGTTAAAATTTACTAATAGTTTAACATAATCTGGATTATGATGATGGTTGTATCATATTGAACTATATTATTGTGTGTGTTGCATTGAATTGTGCTAACTGAATTCTTTTCCAGTTTTGGAAGCAAAAACACAAAAGCTTGAAATTATACTGTGGGCCAAAGAAAGTGTCTGAAAAAAAAATCCATGTTCATTAAAATTGGAAAGTTCTTGTTAACTAATTTTTTTTAATTGACATAACAGCAATTGTACCCAGATGCAGTGCAAACTCATTTCTGTACCACCCCAGGGATTCCCCGGTGCTCAGGGTGATCCAGGACTCAAAGGAGTTAAAGGTGAAGCATCACAGCCAGAGGGACAAGTGGGTGCCCCAGGGGACCCGGGGCTCAGAGGGAGTCCTGGAAGAAGGGGCTTAGACGGAATTCCTGGAGCTCCGGGGGCAAAAGGATTACCAGGACCTAAAGGTGAACCGGTTGGTATCTACCTTTCAAATAATTCAAATTATCCACCCTATAGAGGAAATACCCTGAAGACAAACGGTGATTTATTTTCAAAAAATTGTTGACCACCCAGCACAGTTCATCCCTCCAACTGCAGCATAAGGCATCATCAAATGAGCAGTAACAACCCAAGCAAATATTTATGGTATTTTTACAAAATTAATTGGTAGCACTCAGTGGTTTTTTAACCCAAATAAAATTCTACATTGACAATGACCTTGTCTCATATACAAGCTCCAGTTCCACGTTTGTATCAAATAGAGAAGTTCAGAAAATGATTAATAATGGAAAAATTTAGTATTTTCGGGGCGATGTTCTTTCTTCTAAGTAAAAATAAATGCATAAAAAAGGACAGACTGTCTAGGGGCAGAGTGGTCAAATAAAGAGATCAAATGTTGTGTCATTTGCAGTAATTTAGTGAGTGTAAATTCAACTTACCAGGATCTAGGTTAAAGTGTCACAGAGTCAAGCCGTTAAACCTTCACAGGATATTACAAGACATTTGTAATGCCTGCTACTCAGCCTGCTCCACAAAATACCAGTTTTCCCAGAGCTAATCAGTGTTACCCAATTAAAAGGGTCCTACCTGGAACAGGGAAATTTGGCAAACAAATAGAAAGATTCATTTACAGGCCCTTTAACATCAGAATATGAATTTCAACTCCCCAAGATGTAGGTATGGTATGCAGGCTTTTCTAGACCTGTTGGACTACGAAAGACTTTTTGGCTGGGGGCAGCTAGCAGGGCCAATATCACGTAGCCCCTCCTCTGGCGAACTGCCAGATAATAGTTGTGCTTATGGAGGAGCAAGGTCTAGAATTCTTTTGATCCAGTATTGATACAGATGTTCCCATTTGCATCTCACTCATTTCTTTGTTAGTTCTGGCAAAGATGTTCCAGAAGCTAAGTGAGAGAAAGTCAAGGTGATATGCAGAGAATCTTCCCTGCTACTATAAAAGAAAGAAAAGAACCGCATAGCTGCCCAATAATACTGAGCAATGAAAAATCCAAATTTATCATTTGGGGCCATGTTGGGCAGGAAGGAGGACTTTGATTATTTTCAAATCCCACTTCTTAAACAAATACAGCTCATTTTCAAAGTTACGGCCTATGAACTTGTTTTTGCAAAAAGACACTTTGTAAGAAAAAAGTTACCACAGATAGAATATTTCCTTTGTAATGAAAATGGCTGGTGGAAACCAACGAAACAAAGGCTTGCTGTCCTGGTTTGATTTCAGAAATGTTGCACTAACAGGAAGGTCACCTCTACTGCCATTTGAACTGTTGGCTGACGTGAACTAAGTTTTCGGGGCTCTTATATTACGTGAGGCATCCCACTGTAAGACATCTCAAGTGGGGCTCAGGAGAGCTCCAAGTTAATGCAGTGTCGCTGAATCCTCAAGGGCACAAAGCAGCAGACTCCACGCAGCCCTCTTAGTTTAGTAATAATTCCCTTCAAATAACAACTGCTTTTTTATTCACGATCTTTGCACTGACTTCCTATTCATGGTAAGATTAAGCTGTGTAGGGAGACACGGGACTGAAACACGATCCAAACATATTCCTATTGTCACAGGCCCTGAGTGGTGAGAAGGGGGACCGGGGTTTCCCAGGGGATCCTGGCACCCCTGGGCCCCCAGGACCTGCGGGACCAGCTGGACCACCCAACTATGGACCACAGGGCGAGCCTGGTCCAAAGGGCACCCAAGGAGTTCCTGGAGTCCCTGGACCACCTGGAGAAGCCGGTTGGTTAGTTTTCTTTCCAGTCCTTTTTCTTCCGTGGAGTGGATTGATGTTCCCAGAGCGAGTGAAGCTCCCTCAACACTAATGAATGTATAGATACTTGCTTCTAATAAGTTGAATATATCAGCTCATAGACACTAAGAAAGAACATCTAAGACATATTAAAGAAAATTCATTTTTCCCTATTACTGATCAATTCAGCTGAAATTTCCTAGGATAGTCTATACCATTACTGACAGAAATATATGCACTGAATAAATCCTAAGGGACAAGTCAAGTCAGTTATGATAAAGGTTTTGGGAGGCCAAAACCTATGAAACTGATCTTTGAGAAGCCTTTTCTAGGCCTCAAGGACCTACTAATGTTACTGCAAATTTGTTCTTTTTGATCCATAATTCAATAGACGGTTTATAAGTAAAACTGCAAAATGCGTAAGATAAATGGAGAGAAATTGTCTGATAAATTTGAAGTCCCAGTAACTTTTGGGACTTAGTACTGAACATAGTTCCTGGACTCAGGAGAGATATGATCCTCAATGTTTATCTATGGCAAAGAACATGCCAGAAGATGAGAACTGCATGTTACTGACAGTTTTAAACAAATTGCACTATGGTCATTTTTTACTTCTAAAGTCACTTCGAAGGGTGAAACTCAATAAACTAGTGGTCCCCAAATCTTTTTACAGCATCCCTCATCATTAAAGATTTTTGAGTGCCCATCTCTATTTTATTCATATATATTATAAATTGTATGCATGCATTCTGTCCACACATGAATGTTAACCTTATTTTATTATATATATATATATATATTTATTATATTTTTTTTCTTTTCCTGCACCTTACTTTGAGGCTGTTATTCTAATCCAAGGATTGGCAAACTACAGTAGTCCACAGTCCAAATCCGGACCACTGCCTGTTTATGCATGATACCACAAACTAAGAATGGTTTCTATATTTTTTAATGATTGAAAAAAAAGTTTGAGTCAAACTCCATGACACGTGAAAATTATCTTAAATTCAAGTTTCAGTGTCTGTAAGTAAAGGTTTACTGGCACACAGCCACACTCATCCGTTTATGTATTGTTTCTGGCTGTTCTCACACTTTGAAGGCAGACTTAAGTAGTTGCAATAGAAGCACAAACACTCAATTACTTACTGTGTGGCCTTTACAGAGATCTTTATTGAACCCTCTTCTAATCCATCATCAAAACCTCTTTTGTTCTAAGTGTGAATCCTTAGTGAAGACTCCATTGTCATAAAATACATTACCATCAAATTTTTCCCATCACACTACTGTAAACATTTTTTCTATAAATATATGAATATATGGATAATACTAATCACTAACATGTTTTTGATGTTGTCCGCTGTGATCAGAACATTATCTCAAATCTTTACCAGCTGGGTAGGCATTATTTCCCTAATGACATGAGACCATAGAGAGTTTAAGAAATGAACCCAAGTTCACAGATTTATAAAAAGCAGGGCCAAGATTCAAGCCCAGATCGGCCTGTGAAGCCACACTGCATATTTTGTTCAGTACCATTCTGCCTACCTGTGAAACTCATCACCCAAAAAATATTCTACCAGTATTCACCAACAGTTAAGCCGAATTCCGTATCATCAATAATTTTTAGAATAGGCTCCCTTTCAACAAATCAGCACTGAGTTGCACTATTAATTAAAACAAGGCTTAGACAATAATAGATGCTTTATAAATATTCATCAATTGAATAAGCAAGTTTCTATGGGCTGGTCATCTTTAAGCCAGTTTTGAAGGCTGTGGAAACAGAGACATTTTCATATTCCTTGGGCTGTTTATAAACCCTTTGTAATCATGTATTGTCCCTTTTAACTCAGAAAAACTTCAATATGCACACCCATCTTATGATCGTAAATTTTCTTAAGGTCCTAAGGGAGAATTCAGTGTTTCAATACCAGTCGCAGGGCCCCCAGGACCCCCAGGACCTCCTGGCCGCTCCGGCCCCCAAGGTCCTCCTGGTAAGTAACCCCTTTGCCAAGTCTGGTGTCAGAATAGCGTCAGGTGGCACCCTGACTCTTCTGGAAAAATACTATCCCTGTTATATGGAAAAAATATATTTGTTGGCTCCAAAAAGGAACACAGACCAGAGTCCTGTCTGATAACCAGCCAACACGCGTGGGGCTTGCTGTGGTCCTTCAAGGCCATGCAGATTCTTCCCATTAGTACTTCCGATTCCACAAGAGAATTGATGTAATTACCTAAGAGGAATTTGACAACAGAACCATGTTTGTGGATTTTTGGTGGGGGAAGCTATGTTTGCCAGTTAACCAGGATAGTTCCAAAGAGCTTCTTCCTTTGAAAACTTAATTTCTCTGTCAACATGATCTAAAACTTAATTTTGCATGCATGGAGGGAGACTTGTATAGTTTAAGATACGTAAAATATTTCTTTTTAGGACTTAAATTATGATTAGCTTATTGGCTAAAATGGGGAGAAAGTTGAAATGGAGTATACAGTTGGGTTATGTTAGAATTATTTCTTAATTACCAAAAAGGCATGGGAAGACACAGAAACTTAGATGTCTTGTTTTATGGCAATAAAAGAAAGTTGCTGATGTGCATGTATGTGTGTGTTTCAGGTATCCCCGGGTCCAGAGGAAGGTGTGGTGATCCAGGTCATCCTGGGCCTGATGGTGAACCAGGAATTCCAGGAACTGGATTTCCTGGGCCTCCTGGACCTAAGGGTAAATTAAGAAATTTTAAAGCATGGTTCACTGTGAATATTTAGAAAACGTAAAAACATATAATGAATAACTGAGGAAATGTCCATAGCATTCTTTAAGATGGTGATTTCTAACTGTCATAAGTGGGAAAAAACTCTTACCATGAAGTTAGGCAAAAGGGCAGAACTCACCAATTTATGTGATCTCATCCCAATCACATTTTTAAGTGCAGAGAAAAAAAACACAGGAGGGAAATTCACCAAAATGGTAATAGTGAGTCTTCTTGATTGTAGGATTATGAGGAATTTTTTCTTTACTTAGTATTAAATGTCTACATTTCTTACATGTATTCCTTCCTTCACTTCATGCATTTCTTTTCTACTTAAAAAAAATGAGCTACTAAATCACAAATAACTGATTTCCCTGTACACTCCAAAATAAATGACAGAAGTTATTTTCCTTTAGGAAAAAATGCCATTTCCCATCAAACCCTCCAAAGAAATCCAGTTGTTAAGAGCTTAAACAATAACCTGAGGCTCCCCACTGACAAATACATCAAAGTTCTATACAGGAAAATGTATGAACAATCGCAGTCCCTGGGTTATCACATAAACCTTCAGATTTTATGATCATTTCATGTTTGTTCAACAGTATTTAAAGTGTTTGTCAAAGTATAATTCATTTTTTGGTGCCTCATCTCTTAGATTAGTATGTCAGCAATGTTTAGCATGTATCAATTCTGCCCAAATATGGGAATATTGATCTCAATTCCTGAGTATTTAAGGTGAAAACATAATCATATTTCTCAGATGATCCCAAGAATAGCTTCGACTCCTATTTCTTGGATTTCTTCCCAGTGATCTCTGAAGTAATGCATCCCCTGGCCCATATTTTCACCTAGTCCCTCTTGGACCCTGCATTAAGAAATTGCATCCCAGCTTATAACCGTAGGGATTCACCCTCTGGAAGGGAACTATAAACTGTGGGAACCAGAACGAGCCTAAAAGTCCCTTGAAAGTACTAATGCAGAATCTCCCAATTGCACCTAATGAATCCCATGAATTAATGGTGCATTAAAAATTGGTCAAATTAGGGGCATGAAGGAAATCTCTGAACACAGCCTTTCCTGACCAGGGCTTCCTCTTTTGGACCACAGAACAGAGAAAATGATATGTGTGACTCCTTTCTCAATTCTTCTGTTATAAATGCATAAGAGAGAAGTTAATTCATTACATTCAATGGCATTAGGAAGTAACTCTCTTAAGCAACCTAGGTTGAGAAGATCTACCTGGGTGTATTGAGCTGGAAATGCTTTATATCTTGATCTGGTGCTGCTTTAATGGGTATATACACATGGAAAAAGTTCATTTGACTGTACATTGCATGTAAAAACTGATGTCAAAAATATGTCAGCCAAATGGCCAGCCCATATCAGAGGTTTAAAAACTTGCTGAATCAAAATTGTAGCCATGCTAAACAATAAATATGGAGACGTCAGTTTTTAAATTGGGAACCAATGCTGATTTGGAATTGAATTTTTTTTTTATTGGAAACTTAGCAGTTGACTTTTTCATAAAAACACCTCTAGCTGCTTGCCTCATTAAAAACTTTAGACAAAGCGAGAGATACTGCTCAGAATCTTTAATAAGACTAATCCTACAACTTTTTTATTATTTTTTCTTTATAGGAGACCAGGGTTTCCCAGGAACAGAAGGAGCACCGGGTTGTCCTGGAGAAATGGGAAAGCCTGGGTTACCTGGACAGCCAGGCCTCCCAGGGGCCAAGGTCCGTAAGAACTAAAACATAGACTGATGTGGGAAAGAGGAAGGACAGCACAATTGGCCAGGCAGGATCCTCTTTGTGTAGAAAATTATCAGTATATTTGTAGATGATGAAGATGTTAAATATTTTTTAAAGTTTCTCTGAACCTTCCCTTCCTTTTAAAAAGGAAAATAGAAGGTGTTAGAAGACAGGTGTACCCTCAGAAACAGAGTATTTAAAATGGGACAACTCTAAAAAGAAATGTGGATAACTGTGAGAAACACAATCAAAAGAAGAGACATGTAGACTGTCTGCAGAAAATTTCACAGTCTTCTGAAAAAGTAGAGGTTACATATCCTCAAGAATTATTAGGCATAATTTTGTAGGAAAGTCAGCAACTTTCTATATGAAAAAAGGAAAGTTGATGGAATGGTGGTGGCTGTGCAAAAGAGATGATTTTCAAGTAAATAGCCCTTAAGACCAGTCAACAGTCAGTGAGGATTTGGAGGCATTATACAGTAAAACTAACATAATTTCTATACTTTAGGGAGAACCAGGAGTAGCCGTGCACGGAGCCCCAGGAATGCCAGGTTTTCCGGGAGAAAGAGGCAATTCTGGGGAAATTGGAGAAACTGGACTCCCTGGACTTGAAGGTCTCCCTGGAATTCCAGGAACTGGAGGGCTTGATGGACCGCTAGGTACAATAGCAAGTGTGACTATTTTTCTCCACCATGAGCTCAGCTAAATGCAGCAAATTGAGGATGTATGTGCTCTAGGGGTGAAGGATTCTTCTCAAACTTCTAGTTCAATAAAGAGAATGCATGCGGCCTACTTGTTTTTCCATTCAACATTGCTACCCTGCCTTTGTTTCTTCTTTTCTTCCTTCTCTCCTTTTCAGTGAGTGTCTTCTACAAAAAGTATATTAATGGTATTAAATACAGGCTTGATTTGGTGGGGAAAGTTACAGGAGAATAACTGTGGTAGCAATACTGGGACCTTGGGTTTGGCACTTGACTATATTCTTGGACTCTGTTCTGCAGGGGATCCAGGGCAGCCTGGACCACCTGGGGAAAAAGGACCCCCAGGAAGGTGCACAGAGGGTCCCAGGGGAGCCCAAGGACTTCCAGGCTTAAACGGATTGAAAGGGCAACAAGGTGAGAGGAGGACCTTGAAACCCGTCATAGGCGGGCAGATGACATAGGACCCTGCTCTCTGCTTTGCTGCCTAACGTGGGAACTGACCAGCAACAAGTCCTGAGGATTGACAAGTTCAATGGGAAATATTATCTCAGAAATTGAAAGCTTGTCATTACGGATTTGTTGCAATGAGTACCACCTATAGAGGAAGAGACCTTAAGTTAATATAGTGAAATTGGTTTGTGTCTTATATCCAGGAAAATATGAACACGGAAAATATATACAGAGATGTGTATTTACATTTCCATTTATGTAATATAAACTCTCAGAAAAAGTTTTACCTTTAATACTTCCATAATTCTATAAAGTGATGAATGTATCCTTATTAATAAAATAGAATGGATGTATGCAAAGATACCTGATTAACAAGTTAGAGACTAAGATTGCAATTGACTGCTTTACAAGCAACACAAAGGGTATGAAAATAAATCTAAATTATGCAGGCTAGATGGTCCAGATAATGTGACTTACTCAATCATTTTGGCTCATCTCAATCAAATCTCTGAACTATTTCTGGGAAAAATCCTTTTGAGCTCAGCTAATGCCTGTGGGCTGTCAAACTGCTATATGTTCACGAACAGATTTTCAACCAAAATGTTAATTGTTGTAGTAGTGCTATTACTATTTCCAGGAGTATCTGGCAGCTCCTCTCCACATGAGCGGCTCTGTATGTATTCTGCAGGTCATAAAGTACAGCCCACGATGTGCCTGCAGAACTAGAAAATACATCTAAATTCTACACTTTGATTATCTCATGAATCATTAAAACAGAGAATGTTGAAGCCAGAAGGCAATCTTAGAAACTGTACAAAAGGGGATGCAAATCAATCAATCAATCAATCAATCAACTGAGCAATCAGATACATGTGTGATTTGCCTCAAATCACACAGCTAAATATTTACAGCCGTAAAAAATATTTTTGGAGTTGGTGGGGAGAGCATTTCTGTATTTATTCATTCCTTCATTCATTCACTCATCCATACATAGGCGGAAGAGGCACAGCAGGCCCAAAGGGAGATCCCGGTATTCCAGGCTTGGATAGGTCAGGATTTCCTGGTGAACCTGGACTACCAGGAAGGCCAGGTCATCGAGGTGAGATGGGTCCACCTGGTCAAAAAGGATATCCAGGAAACACAGGATTTTTAGGACCACCAGGTATCCTCTTGTGTGCTTCATTTTTCTTCTTTTAATTTTCCTTTTAAGGTGGTTGTATGAATTAGACACAGGCATCAGCTTTTGGGTCTACACTTTTCTTTCAGTTAGTGTAACTTTTTTCTTCTGAATTATTTGTAAGAGGCTGAAGGCCAGGGAAATGGTAGTGATGTGATAATCACAATTCACGATTACCCAGGATCTGGGTCTTTTTGGATACTTCTAAAATATATTTTATATGTTACTACTTTTTATGTTAATACCAAAACATATTTGCTACTTTTTCCTTGAGAATTTTTGCATCTTTGTACATAAGGGATACCGTTCTGTTGTTTTCTTCTCTTATGTCTTTGCCTGGTTTTGGTGTCAGGGTAACATGGGCTTTTGCAACAAGATGGGAAGTTTGTTCACCTTTTATATTTTCTAGAAGAGTTTGTGAAAAATTAATATTCTTTAAATGTTTGGTACAATTCACTGGTTAAGTCATCTGGACCTGGAAATTTCTTTGTGGGAAGTTTTTAAATTACTAATTCAATTTCATCACTTGTTGTTAAGTCTTGTATAAGTATATATCACTTGTATAAGTCAGATTTCTTATTTTGTCTTCAGTCAATTTTAGTAATATGTGCCTCTCTAGGAATTTTTCCATTTTGTCTAAGTTACAAAAAAAATCCATCTTCTAGACAGATATGGTCATTTATCTACTATAGAAACCATTCCCTCAACTCCCAATCTCTCTAATTTATTTTACTTTATGGAGTATTTTGCTTTTTTCACACTGTATAACATGTGCCACTTTGTGTTAATTTGTTACCATAGGTGAAAAAGGAGTGGTTGGAATGATGGGCTATCCTGGAAACATTGGCCTTCCGGGGCCTCCTGGGAACCCAGGCACCCCAGGGCAGAAGGGTAAGTGGTAAAGTATCTTTCCATTTATCAGGAGGTATGAACAAGTTTCATTCATTTAGCAGCAAAATAAATTATATTTTATTCATTGAGGAAAATACTTCAAAGAGAACCATGCATTTGATTTTGCTATTTTCTATATTCCCTTTTCCCATTTGAAAAGAATCATCTTTTCTCCCTGAAGGCTTATTCCACTACTCTCATGTGGTTGCCTGTATTGGGGAACTATTTATCAAGTTCTTAGTACTGTTAACCTTTTTCATCCATTTGTTTTGTTGTGTTTTAATGGTTAGCCCTGTTAACTTTTGAATCTTCATGAACTACTTCAAGAATTAAGGAACTGATGTTGTGACTCCTGTCTTTTAGGTAGTTTTGGAATTCCAGGAGCAAAAGGCCAGAGAGGACCCCCCGGAGCCAAAGGGGAAGAAGGGGATAAAGGCACTCCTGGGCCTTCTCAAATATCCCAGCTTCTCGGGGACAAAGGGGACCCAGGCCTCAAAGGTACAGGCTTCCTTCCCTTTAGAATCAAGAGAATCTGAGCAGATTCTGAGACTAAGAATTATCCAGGAAAATCCCTCTAGTTGACAAATGAGGACAGTGAGGACCAGTATTTACCTTTCTGTCCATAGTCACACAGCCATCTGGTGCCCCAAGTCTGGACTAGAACTGGGTCTTGCGTGCCTTGCACAAGAATATGCTGCCTCCATAACGAATGAGTCTGCATTTTGGTCTGCTGTATTTACAGGGTCACTGGTCAGTTTTTAAATTAGAAGCCTCAGAAATCCCTTTCTGCCAAGTATGCTGAAAATTAAACATCACTTTTCCTTGCCTACCTCTCAAACCACATGACCTTCATTTACTCAATAATTATTTTTTAGTACCTATTGACTAGGCATTTTACTCTGTCCTAGACACAGAGGTGAGCTAAGCAGAGGTAGTATCCTGGTCATGAGGAAATGATACAGTTCAGTGGGGGAAAGAGACGTTAATGAATCTATTAACTATCTTCTGTAACAGAGGGCAAATATCTTAGGCTTTGTGGACCACATATGGTCCCGGTTGCATATTCTTCTTTAGGGTTTGTTTACAACTCTTTAAAGATGTAAAAACCATTCTCAGCTCCCTAGCCAACACCAAGCCAGATTTGGCTTGCAGGCTAGTTTGCCAGTCAGGAGTATCTGGCAGCTCCTCTCCACATGAGCGGCTCTGTATGTATTCTGCAGGTCATAAAGTACAGCCCACGATGTGCCTGCAGAACTAGAAAATACATCTAAATTCTACACTTTGATTATCTCATGAATCATTAAAACAGAGAATGTTGAAGCCAGAAGGCAATCTTAGAAACTGTACAAAAGGGGATGCAAATCAATCAATCAATCAATCAACTGAGCAATCAGATACATGTGTGATTTGCCTCAAATCACACAGCTAAATATTTACAGCCGTAAAAAATATTTTTGGAGTTGGTGGGGAGAGCATTTCTGTATTTATTCATTCCTTCATTCATTCACTCATCCATACATAGGCGGAAGAGGCACAGCAGGCCCAAAGGGAGATCCCGGTATTCCAGGCTTGGATAGGTCAGGATTTCCTGGTGAACCTGGACTACCAGGAAGGCCAGGTCATCGAGGTGAGATGGGTCCACCTGGTCAAAAAGGATATCCAGGAAACACAGGATTTTTAGGACCACCAGGTATCCTCTTGTGTGCTTCATTTTTCTTCTTTTAATTTTCCTTTTAAGGTGGTTGTATGAATTAGACACAGGCATCAGCTTTTGGGTCTATACTTTTCTTTCAGTTAGTGTAACTTTTTTCTTCTGAATTATTTGTAAGAGGCTGAAGGCCAGGGAAATGGTAGTGATGTGATAATCACAATTCACGATTACCCAGGATCTGGGTCTTTTTGGATACTTCTAAAATATATTTTATATGTTACTACTTTTTATGTTAATACCAAAACATATTTGCTACTTTTTCCTTGAGAATTTTTGCATCTTTGTACATAAGGGATACCGTTCTGTTGTTTTCTTCTCCTATGTCTTTTCCTGGTTTTGGTATCAGGGTAACGTGGGCTTTTGCAACAAGATGGGAAGTTTGTTCGCCTTTTATATTTTCTAGAAGAGTTTGTGAAAAATTAATATTCTTTAAATGTTTTGTACAATTCACTGGTTAAGTCATCTGGACCTGGAAATTTCTTTGTGGGAAGTTTTTAAATTACTAATTCAATTTCATCACTTGTTGTTAAGTCTTGTATAAGTATATATCACTTGTATAAGTCAGATTTCTTATTTTGTCTTCAGTCAATTTTAGTAATCTGTGCCTCTCTAGGAATTTTTCCATTTTGTTTAAGTTACAAAAAAAATCCATCTTCTAGACAGATATGGTCATTTATCTACTATAGAAACCATTCCCTCAACTCCCAATCTCTCTAATTTATTTTACTTTATGGAGTATTTTGCTTTTTTCACACTGTATAACATTTGCCACTTTGTGTTAATTTGTTACCATAGGTGAAAAAGGAGTGGTTGGAATGATGGGCTATCCTGGAAACACTGGCCTTCCGGGGCCTCCTGGGAACCCAGGCACCCCAGGGCAGAGGGGTAAGTGGTAAAGTATCTTTCCATTTATCAGGAGGTATGAACAAGGTTCATTCATTTAGCAGCAAAATAAATTATATTGTATTCATTGAGGAAAATACTTCAAAGAGAACCATGCATTTGATTTTGCTATTTTCTATATTCCCTTTTCCCATTTGAAAAGAATCATCTTTTCTCCCTGAAGGCTTATTCCACTACTCTCATGTGGTTGCCTGTATTGGGGAACTATTTATCAAGTTCTTAGTACTGTTAACCTTTTTCATCCATTTGTTTTGTTGTGTTTTAATGGTTAGCCCTGTTAACTTTTGAATCTTCATGAACTACTTCAAGAATTAAGGAACTGATGTTGTGACTCCTGTCTTTTAGGTAGTTTTGGAATTCCAGGAGCAAAAGGCCAGAGAGGACCCCCCGGAGCCAAAGGGGAAGAAGGGGATAAAGGCACTCCTGGGCCTTCTCAAATATCCCAGCTTCTCGGGGACAAAGGGGACCCAGGCCTCAAAGGTACAGGCTTCCTTCCCTTTAGAATCAAGAGAATCTGAGCAGATTCTGAGACTAAGAATTATCCAGGAAAATCCCTTTAGTTGACAAATGAGGACAGTGAGGACCAGTATTTACCTTTCTGTCCACAGTCACACAGCCATCTGGTGCCCCAAGTCTGGACTAGAACTGGGTCTTGCGTGCCTTGCACAAGAATATGCTGCCTCCATAACGAATGAGTCTGCATTTTGGTCTGCTGTATTTACAGGGTCACTGGTCAGTTTTTAAATTAGAAGCCTCAGAAATCCCTTTCTGCCAAGTATGCTGAAAATTAAACATCACTTTTCCTTGCCTACCTCTCAAACCACATGACCTTCATTTACTCAATAATTATTTTTTAGTACCTATTGACTAGGCATTTTACTCTGTCCTAGACACAGAGGTGAGCTAAGCAGAGGTAGTATCCTGGTCATGAGGAAATGATACAGTTCAGTGGGGGAAAGAGACGTTAATGAATCTATTAACTATCTTCTGTAACAGAGGGCAAATATCTTAGGCTTTGTGGACCACATATGGTCCCGGTTGCATATTCTTCTTTAGGGTTTGTTTACAACTCTTTAAAGATGTAAAAACCATTCTCAGCTCCCTAGCCAACACCAAGCCAGATTTGGCTTGCAGGCTAGTTTGCCAGTAACCCTAAAAACTCCAAGCAAAAGAACCCATAAGATAATATATATTTTAGACCATGATAAATGACATTAAATGGAAAAAACAAAGATTATGTAAAAAAAAAAAAAATCTAACCCCATGTTACTCACCATTCCTTTGCACATGCTCTTTTCCCATCTGGGAATCCCACCCCATTCCAGGCTTTTTCCACCCAACTAGCCCCCACATGGTCTTTAAATGAGCTAAAAATAATCCCCTCTTCCAGAAATTCTTCCCAGTAGCGTATTGTGCCCAACTCCATTGCTGAATGTATCACACCAGGTGGTAATTGTTTCCTTGGCTGTCTCCCCAGTTAAACACTAAAAACTTTAAAAAAAGGTTCATGGTTTATGTCTCCAGCACTTAGCATAAGACCTGTCTATTAATTAGATACATGACATCTATTAATTAGATGCTCAATCCATATGTGGCTGAGTGAATAAGCAGCTAAGCAGAGAAATAGTCAAGGGAAGTGAATCTGCTTGAGAGAAGGCACAAAGCTAGGCCAAGACAGATTGTGGAATGCTTCAAATGTCAGTGGAAGGAGTTTGTAATTGACTCTGTAGGTAACAGAGATTCAAGGAATGTTTATGAGCAGAAGAATAATGTGATGTGATCAAAGCCATGTTTTACAGAAAGTAGGGTGGTGGTGTGGAAAATATAAAGGCTTTTTACAGCCCGCAAGAACTGGGTTCAAACACCAGCATGACCACTGACTACTGATTGGCCACATGATTCTAGGTTAGTCTGCTGACTTCTTAAAGTCTCAGTTATCTCAGCTCCACACCCAATGTGGAAAGGCTCAAGGACAGACTAACATTCCCTGCAAATTAAGTGAGATAAATACAAGAAAATAATGTAGTTACTTAATAAGTGATAGTTGTTAATAAATGGATTGAGAATGGGATAGTCTAGACAACAACACTGTAATGAGTGGTCCTTTTTCATTACTAAAATATATTTTTTAAAAAGGAAGGCTGGATTTAGGCCATTCTTAAAATGTTTGTTTAATGTATAAATATTATGATCATTGTTAGTGTTCTTTGAGAACTCATGCCATGCACTGTGCTAACCCTTTCCACATATTATCTCATTAAACCCTTTTTAAAAATATATATAAGCCTGTATCTGCCCATGCCCTTAACAAATATGCTCTACCATATCTTATGTTACATATGTACACTATCTGTGCTGTGTGTTATTATAATATGTCATCAATTTTAATCAGGATACAGGTTAAATCTGAACCTGTATCTAAAGTCTGAATCTAAAAATTCTAACCCGTATTTTTAATACATGATTTTTAACTAGGATTTCCAGGAAACCCAGGTGAGAAAGGAAACAGAGGTATTCCTGGGTTACCAGGTTTAAAAGGACTTGAAGGGCCACCTGGACCACCAGGACCACCAGGTATACCTCATTCTTTAATGGAATTTCCAGGCTTTAAGTATTCTTAGATCTAAGTGTAACAAAAATGTGTTTCTAGACTTACCAGGCTGAATAAGAATTCTGTTCTGATAGTGTTCTAACAGAAATTTACTTCTAAGTTAAACCAAAATGGAGATGTTTATAGTCAGCCTGTATTAACTAAAAAAACATTAACCTACATGACATTCTATTTTTGTACTAAACATTTTATTTTGAAAATGCTGGTATGTATTACAAACCATAATTTATCACAATAGCACATCATGTAAGATAATCAGATAATACCCTAGAGGTTTTCAGATTTGCCTCTTTCATTTTCAAACAAGTTATTAAGTTGGCAAAGTAATGTTTTAAATAATTAAAGTAGCCCCTATTCTCTGTGACCACATCAGTGACAAAATATGGCAATAAAATTTCATATTGCATTTGTAAATCTATTTCTATTACTACCTGGTTGCAGAAGCCCTGTCTTTTCTGCTGGCATTGGTCCTGGGATGATTTTGATGTTTGAAATCTAGTGCTGCTGACAAGAATCTAACTTTCTCTAATTATACATCTTCAGGGTCCTCAATCCCCTCCTTATCTGAAGCCAAAAACTCAGTTAATACTTAAACCAGCTGGTCTGGCTGCTCTGTATTCATTCATTCAAATATTTACTCAGCACCTAGTTGTGCAGGAACTATGCAAGGTATATGACTATTTATTTGTTCTCAAGGCCCCAGAGGAGATCCGGGCAGCACTGGGAAGCCTGGAGAACCAGGGCCACGTGGTGTGCCAGGAAGCATGGGCCTCATGGGGGTGCCAGGTAATATACAGTCCTGTTACAAGCTCCTGGTGGGTCCCAATTCTAAATTTTCTGCATTGTTTGTTGTTTTCATTTTCTACTTGGAAGAAAGTTGGTGTGAAATAACTAGATTTACTTTTAGACAAATATACAGTGTGCAACTAGAACATGCATGAGAATGAAATAAATACTGATATTGTGTAAAAGTCATCCATTATGGCTACTTGATTAGTGATTCTGGAAAACCTCCTTCTTTGGAGAAAGATTGTGCGAAGGTCAGAAGCCAAACACGTCAAGATTCCTGTTTTACCAGGTTTCTTTCCTGATTTCAGGTTCCAAAGGAGAGAGGGGAACTTTGGGACTCCCAGGTCTAACAGGAAGACCAGGCTTCCCAGGTACTCATGGTCTCCAAGGAGAAAAGGGAGACCCAGGTTATTCAGAAGGTACACGGCCAGGACCACCAGGAACAAAGGTATTAGGCCACTGACGTATACATTTGGTGTAAACCAGAAGTGTACATTTTGGTGGTGGAATGAGTCCCTTTAAATATCAACAAATATCTGGATTCAATCTGGAAATAACAAAATATTATTGTTTTTTTTCAGGCAGTTATTTGATGTTTTTATCCTATCTCCACAACTCAGGATGCCTAACACACAGCTGTCAGCTTTTGAGTATATTTCCCATATTTTTAACCCCCAAGGAATCTCTTATCTGCCAGAAGGAAGCAGTGATCACAGGCTCATAAAATCTGACAGGGCATGTTTGTTTCTCATGTGAAAAAATGGCCAGTCTCTGCTATGAGCTCATCTCATACAGGTTTATAAAAATAAATTTGCAAACTTTGTAATCCGAAACTTTTCTTATTAAAATGAAACCACTTTTTCAGAGCATCATTAAAGAGGAATCAAAATCCTAAGATATTTACTTTTCTTAATTGTTTTAAAACTAAGTTATTTTCTTTCCATTACACAGAAGAATTTTCTCTCGCCCCCGTGTCCCCCGTGCTAGTCCTCTGCTAACTAGAGGTTGGATGGCAAAGCCCTTGTTAGTGTGTTGTAACAGCAATGAAAGGTTTCAGTGGGACTCTGCTGTTCTGTTTTTCTGTTTTTTAGGTTTATTTCCTTCCACCCTTTCTGTGTCTAGCAGTAACACTAAGATCCAGAGCTAGACCACTAGAGAATGATTAATAGAAATTATTATAAGAAGGGTTTTGACCTGGGATTCCATGGACCCCTAAAAAAGTCTATTCAATTCCAGGAATTCCACTAATCTCCTGAAGTTAGACACAAAAAGGAGTGCAGATTTTTGTAGGGAACAGTCTGCATTTTTTAATCTGGCAATAACAAAATATTACTGTTTTTTCAGGCAGTTATTTTTTGTTGTTATCCTATCTCCATAACTCAGGATGCCTACCACACAGCTGTCAGCTTTTGAGTTTATTTCCCACATTTTTAACCCCCAAGGAACCTCCTATCTGCCAGAAGGAAGCAGTGTTCTTATACTTTTTTATACTCAAAAGTATAAAAAGTGTTCCTTAGACTCTCTTTTGAGCCAATAAAATACCATCTTTCCTAAAGAATTCCAATAATGCCCTGCAACAGTAATTGTTAAAACAATAAGAGAAAATTTTTAGAAACCACACACACCCCAGAAAGTAATCCTTTATTACTTGCAGCACAACTCAATTTCCTTTGCCCTTTATTTTAGATGCGGTTCTCAGAAAATCAGGGAAAGACTCTTTCCGCTGAGATATTTTCTCAATGAGGAATCATTTTTTGCTTAATTCACACTCAGTTAATAGTTTCACTGAGATTTAGGGTTTTCATAGGCAACCATGGAAGAAATTTTTAGAATTGTGTATTGAACACAAAATGAGCTGGTTTTATTATGTGGCAAGTCAGAGCAGCAAAGAGTAGCTGCTATGGAGATTTTGTAAGTCATCATCAAATGTATATGTGCTTGCTTATTATAAAACTAAAGTACAGATTTAATGACTATTAAACCTTGAAAATTTTACATGTGACTGGCATACATTTATCTGCACACAAATATTTGTAGAAATATCCATTTGCTCTATTTCTTTTTTACCCCTATGTTTGAAAATACGCATTTCTATGATTATTTAATATCTACCTCCCCAGTATCTCTCAAGCTCCATGAAGGTAGGGACTGTATATATATATATCTGTTTAGGGTTGCTATTCAACTCACGGGCATGCAATCCATGTAGCCACAGAGGTACATTGCTAGGAAACACTCCATGCTTGGTTTAATTAGACTTCAAACACATTTTGCCTTTGCTATCTGTAATTGCTTTAAAATTTTTTGTAAAGGAAACTGCATTTTCATTTTGCACTGAACACCACAAATCCTGTAACCACCCTGTTTCATCTGACACCTATCACAGTTCTGGCCCATAACAGACACTTAATATGAACCACCAACTAAATAAATGCAAACATAGTTTATACTTAATTCTGGTCACATACATGCTTATATGAGAATTTTAAAGGTATTTGACTGACTTTAAGGGAGACCCAGGATTGCCAGGTGACGTGGGAAGTAAAGGAGAAAGAGGGCCACCTGGTGCACCTGGCCATCTGGGGCCTGCCGGACCTGAGGGGATCCCTGGAAATCCTGGAAGTCCTGGCCATCCAGGTGAGCAGTGTCTTCTACAACTCTGAGAGCTGGAAGCATGGATATTTAGCATGGCCCTCCCCTGCTGGGATCACCTCTGTAAAAATGGAAAGCTATGTAGGCTTTTGTACTCCAGTTGGCCTTTATTTTGATCTTTAAATTTTAAGACACTAAGACACAGGAAATTAATGAGGAGGAGCCTAATTTTACTGATTAGCCAGTCTGGCGGACTGAATCTAACACCTGCTCCCATAAACAGAACTTCTAAAGTGCTGCCTCAATGAATTCAGCCTAAAGATGTGAAATACTAGATACTGCCCAACCTTAGGATGTTTCTATTCGTTTCCTAGGGCTTCGATAACAACACAGACTGGGGAAATTTAACAACAGAAACTTATTTTCTCACAATTTTGAGGGCTAAAGTGTGAGAGTAATTGAGCAGGCTTGATTCCTTCCCAGGCCTTTCTCCTTGACTTCTAGATGGCTGCCTTCTCCCTGTGTGTGTGTCCACGTCAAAATTTTCTCTTCTTATAAGGACACCAACGTTCTTATACTGACCTCATTTTAATTTAATTGGTTCTTTAAAGTCCTTACCTACAAATATAGTGATATTCTGAGATACTGGGGGTTAGGACTTCAATGTAAGAATTTGGAGACAACGCAATGTAACCCAGAACACTGTTGTGATATTTTTTATTTTTCTGGCATATTTTTGGGTTGAATTCTGGCTTTCTTTCTTACTTGCTTATAATTTGGGTTCAAGTTTTTGTTTTGTTTTATTAGAAGCAACTGCTAAATTACTTGTTTGCAGCTTCAGATCTTGCTTAATGATACTATCTCAACTACCTTTTCAAACACTGAAGGTTCAATGGATTTGCTGTTAACTCCCAATTAAAGGTAAATCAGATATTGAGTGGTCCATGTGGTTGGCGTAGACTCACCTTTGGAAACTGTTCCGCATATCTCTGCTGTGCTTCTCTGGGGAAATAGCAGCCAGGACAAAAGCCCCAAGTGACGGATAGCAAGAGGACTTCCTGACCGCAGTGCAAGCACAGCCGACTGTAAGAACCGGCCACTTCAGCCACCGCCGTAACCATTTATCTCTTGGTGTTTTTTTCCTTCCCCTGTCTTCATGTGTAGGAAAGCCGGGTCCTGGTGGTGATTTGGGCTTTAAAGGAATCAGAGGCTTCCCTGGCTCTCCAGGAAGAAAAGGGCCTCCAGGTTCTATTTTTGTACTTCTTCTATGTCCCTTTCATGAAGGAGGTACATTTTCTCCTGAGGTTGGAGTCTCTCTCTCTGACCCAAGACTACCCCTTAGCAGGCAGCGCCCAGTTACTTAGCTCCCAGAAGAAAATACAGAGAAGTGGGGTTAGGCATTGACACCTATCTAATTCAAAGATCTGCCAATTTATTCCAAACTGATAATCCTCATGACGTTATTAATCTGTTCATAGTTTTCACTGTGAATTTAGCTTCACATTGCTACAGTTCTGAAAATGAACACTTTTAACACGACCCCACACATCTAATGCTCACATTAGGCCATTGGTGGGAAGTAAGTCCTCTCTTGGCATTTTTTCCTCAGGACCTCCAGGATTCCCAGGGTCTCCGGGACCAATGGGTATGAGAGGGAACCAAGGACATGATGGAATTCCTGGTCCAGCAGGAGAAAAGGGGGAAACAGGTACCACTTTCTCACTCTCTTCGATGCATTAGTTCTATTTTCCTTTGAATAACTAGTGACATTGTAAACCTTCATTGCTTTAGAGGATCTTCTCTGACAGACTGATGGTCTTGAATGTGTCTGGGTGTGCGATTGTTAACTTTTCCTTCTGTTACCAAAGTGAAATGGACCGAGTAGAATAAATTATATGTATGTATACAATGAAATTAACCACATAGGAAATATTAATATGCCAAAATTATATCTTTCAGGTTTCCTAGGGGCACTTCCAGGCCCAGAAGGGAGCCCTGGTCCTCAAGGTGAGCAGTTCTTCCTCCCTGACTCTGGTGATACACGTTTCAAGAACAGAACCCAATTTAATATGCCTGACATATAAAATAAACTTAACACATTGAACTAAAGAAGTCCCAATGGTAATAAAGGATTTCTATATTCTTGGTATTCAAGTAAAAATGCTTATTTATTACCATCATAACAAATTGAACAAATTAGAGACTGTGGTCCAATTTTGGAATTTCCTTCTATTGAGAGTCTTTGAGAAGACTTCTTATGTATTTCTTGTTATGGTTGTTTGCATGGTTTAAATGTATCACCTCCTAAAAGGATGGGGGTGCAGTAGATGGCTTCTCCTTGAACATCCCTCCCTCCTATTCAGGGATGCAGTCATAACAAGAATCCTTCCCTCCTTCTTATCTTCATCGGTCTGATTCCAACCCCAGCGTCAGCTTGTGGTTCACACTGCTGTTTAAGAGCTTTCCAGTAACTCTCTCAACATCTCAGACACGGTGATTTATTGATCGTGTCATTCAAAGTACAAACCAGGCTTTTGTTTGACAGACTGCAAGTCTGGATTTCTCATGCCACTATTTTACAAGGTAAGTTTTTCTTGATCTTCAGCTCCTTTATGCCTATAATTTATGCTTTTAAAAGAAAGTGTTTAGACTACTCTAGTTCACTTCAAGTGCTGAAATGCGCTTGAGTTTTTACCATGTTGCCGAGAAACCCACCAAAAGAAAGATTATTTGCACCTTTTATTGACTCTTCTCAGCCATGGGTCTTATGGATAAGAGTATTTTATTCACAAAGGGGCCATGCCCAGTGAAGGCCTTTGGTTATTGATGCTCATGAGAACCAGGCAAGGAGTAGACTGATGCTGCTGAGAAACGCAGAGGGGCAGAAACAAAGCTCAAGTGTGAACGTGGACAAGAGCTGTCCTTTTTCATTTGTTTCTTGATGACGTGATAGTCCCTTTGGTTGAGCTCAATGTCCCCACACCTCCCAGACCCCCTGCTTCCCACTATGAGCATAAAGGCTTTTCCTAGTTCACAGTCAGTCTGGTTTTAGAATTACCCTCAAAAGGAGAGTTTCTGTTCATTTTCCTAGACTACGCTCACAGCTTAATCATTTGGAATGAGAACACTTTAGCATTTACCTGGAAAATAAAAGTTGATGTAAAATAATCAAACATAAGTAAAAAAATTTTAAAAATAAATTTAAAATTTTAAAAATAAATAGTGCAAGTAAATCATTATGCACCTCAATCCCTCTAGGATAACTAAGTATGGAGAAGAGATCACTGAGACTTGGAAGGTATGAATCATTTTAATTAGCTTTAATTCTCCCAAATCCTAAAAACAACGCATATTATAAAACAAGGAAGCATCTTCATACACATGGAATATACAACCCAAGACATTACCTTGGGGCCACAGATCACAGCCAGATCCTGTTGCATTTCAGCACTTGAAGTTAGCTGGAGTCGTCTAAACGCTTTCTTTTAAAAACATAAATTACAGGCATAAAGGAGCTGAAGATGATGATAGACAAAGGCTGGATACTAACATCCCTCGTTTCATTTTCACTGTCACCCTGTCCCCACTGGCACACCTGCGCAAGCCCTTTGCCTGTGCCACCAGCCTCATCCTCACTTTTCCTTCTTTCTCTCATCCAAATCCTACTTTCATAACATTTACTATTTCTAGAGTAACATGGAGATGGGAGAGATTATTTTCAATTCATACAATATTTTACATTCAGGAATGTCAAAGCATAATTGCTTAAGGGTTTTCTGACATGAAAAAGACAAGTATTAAATTGTACCTTTTGGGGGTCTTCTTTGGTAAATCCAAACCTCCCACCACATTCATCCAGACTAGTGTTTGTGCTACAGGGAGAAGTAACCAGAGGACCGGAAAAGAACTGTCACTTTGTTGTTCCTCTGTCGGGGCTCAGCTGGGCAACCCTTGGGATGCGCTCATCAGTGCCGCAAAGTTCAGCTTTTACGCTTCACTCAATTATCAGTATTAAATGTTGCCATTGTAATTAAAGTTCATCGGGTGATAATAATTGTGGCTTACATCTACAGAACACTTTAGAGATTACACCAGGCTTTCCCATCTGTATTTTATCTCATTGGATCTTTCAAGACCAAGCCAGGAGGTCAGGTAGTACCTTCATTTTTAAAATAAGAAAACTGAGACTTGTAACAGCGAAGTGACTTTGCCAAGAATCGAACAGCTAGTTGAAGGCAGAACTGAGTCCCCACTCAGTGCTTGTAGACCACCCTCTTATAAAAAATATGTTGTGGACCTTAACACCTTTAAGCGAAGTGTCTACATTATTAGCGATAACCACAAACTGTAACTCCAAGAGTAGATAGAGGCATTACAAATATCATCACACCTTTTTTCTTTGCAGGAGCCAAAGGGGACAGGGGATCCCCAGGCTTGCCCGGCCCCCCCGGCGGGAAAGGCACAGAGGGAGACATTGGGCCACCGGGATTTTTTCTTTGCAGGAGCCAAAGGGGACAGGGGATCCCCAGGCTTGCCCGGCCCCCCCGGCGGGAAAGGCACAGAGGGAGACATTGGGCCACCGGGATCCACTGGCATGGCAGGGCTCCCAGGACCACCCGGTTTCCCTGGCGCAATCATCCCTGGCCAAAAAGGAAGTCGAGGTCCACCGGGCTTGAGAGGAAACCCAGGTAGAGGGTCTACTTTTAAATGCGATAAATGAGAATAACACTTGATGTCAGAAGCTTTCCGCCTTCTTGTGTGAGCCTGTTGCTTCTCTTTCCCTCGGTTCTTCTCCGTCCTCTAAACCCAGCTGGTCTCACACAGAGAGCAGCTGTCGGCACTGTCAAAGCAGAGGGGCCTGTTTGAAAGATTAGTTAAATACCAAATGAATGAGCCTAAAAGAGAGAGATGCATCCATTCACCAATATTTACTGTCCTGGGCTGGGCAGGGGTCCTGCTTTAACAGATCATCAGGAAAAAGAGTTCCTGGCAGGTGCCAGGTGCTTCCCTGGCATTATCTCATTCTCTCTCTGCCACAATCCCATCACACCCCACAAGAGAAGGAACACAGGCAGGAAACGATAAGGTGCAGGGCCTGCACTTTGTTCAAAAGAACCTGCCAAGCCCCCTGATGGCGATACTGACAGGCTTTTTGTGAATGCAGGGGAGCCTGGTCCCCCTGGACCTCCAGGGAGTCATGTAAAAGGCATAAAAGGAGATAAAGGATTTATGGGCAAGCCTGGCCCAAGTGGTCCACCTGGAACTGTGGGAGACAAGGGGACATCCGGTCATCTGGTAAGTGTGGAAAAATACTTGACTTTTTATAGTCTTCTAAATCAATTGCCAGGGTCAGACATACCTGGAAGCAACCAAAATTTCCCAATCGTGATGCTTCTGTGTGGGGCACTAAGGGGAACACAGACGGCCAGAAGGTTCAAAGGGTTGGGAGGATTTAGCCTCGGAGAGGCCTCTCAAAGTTTGGTCTATATGGGACCCTTCTCTATGTCATTCCTGAACTTTTCTTGTTCAGACTCTGAAAAATTGAAATGATGGAATCTTAAAAAAAAAAAAATCCACCCAGGAGTTTAGCATCATTTTTCTCTATTACTATGCTTTCAGAGTTATCTGTGCCATCCCCTAAATGTCTATTTATTTTCTCCCCATGATATACCTTCCAGTGTTTGTAAATAGCTATCATTGCCCTCTAAGCTATTTTCTCCCCAGATAAATACCTGTATTTTTTATAAGTTCAGTTTAATCAATCTCAACCCGGCCACTATTCTGAATATATCCTGATTTGTATGTATCTCTGTTAAAATAGCCCCCAGGGCAAACATCCTCCAGGAATAAGAACTCAGTAGTAATCCACCATGTGGCGGATTAAGAGTCTCACTGACCTCATCATCATTTTATAATTCTACCTGAAATCCCACATGGGCTGTGTGGCTGCCGAGACACCGGAAGCTCACGGGCCTCCTTGTGGAGAGCTGCAAAGTCTTCCCCATTACTTTTTGTCTTGTCTACATCTGTTTATTTGTGCCTTACATGCAGAACTTCCCCATTTATCTTTCTTAGACGTCCTTTTCCACGTAGGCTTCTGCTCCCAGCCAATTAAGACCTCTCTCAACTCAGTCTCTCTCTCAGCACCTTGGCAACCTTCCTTAACTTCTCTATGCAGCAAAGCTGAGAAGCCAGATTCCTCTGTTTACGTCTATTCTTGGAGACGGACAAGGAAATTAGACTATAGTAGATGTTTTCATCATTGATGGGTAATGAGGTACTTTAGTGTGGTTATTGTCAGGCATTATGTAACTCCCTTGGTATTTAGGTTCCGGAATCTTCCTTTTATTTTCTTTTGAAAAAAAGAAACTCTATTTTTCTTTCAAAAATGAGGTGTTTGCCATCTCCAGTCTTAGGTATCTCTCACATTCTCCATGATTCTTTGAAAGTGGCAAATACTGATACTACAATCTCACTGAAAGTCCTCCCCAAGACACTGGGATGTGGAAGGCCTGGTTTGAAAATGTGATCTCTCTGAAATCCTCTGCGTTCCCAAGGTCAGGCACCGCTTCTCATTTGCACTTGAAAGATAATTCTTGATGGCTGTCCAAACTGGCTCAGAGCGCTTCAGGCTCTCTCCTTGCCCGAACAGCTCCCTTCCCACCCAAGGCCAGGCCCTCCTCCCTGCTTACCTCTGCCTCTGCGGAACAGGCCGCATTTCAGAAGCTTGAGCATCCTTGACCAGATTGTTCTGTTTCTTCTCCCTCCTCCTCAAACCTCACACCACCTCGTTCAAGCAACAGGACTGTTCCTTCTTTGTTCTTGCTCCAGGGACAGCTGGCTCAAAGGCCAGGTTTGTCATTCTTGCTTTTCATGGGACCTTCGGTTCCAGCAATTCTGTCTCAACTTGTGTGGACGTTATAAGAGTCGATTTAACATACATTCTGACATACAGCTCTTCTCGGAAGCACTGCCCTCTCCTTCTCCTCTTCGACGTTACTTGAATGGCTCATGACGACAGGAGCAATTAGTGTGAACCTCAGAAGGAGGGAGCCTCCCCTGGTCACATCACTGGATCCTGGCCAGCAGTACATCTCAAAACTCGCTTGACAATCCCTTCGTGCTTCCATCTCTGTGCACCTCACTTCTTTACCTGCTCTGGCCAAAAATGATTTATAATTCTGCCAGCTTAGAATGATGATGGGGGCCACAATTCAACAGTGGCTCTGTTGTCACTGTCAGAATTACAAATACTAGTTTTCATTCTGGCCATCTGGTGCCTGTTCTTCCTGAAAGATCTCCAAACACTGGGCAGTTCCATTTAGGATACAGAATATCCAGTTGTTTCCGATACTCACTCAACATACATTAACCTCACAAGTTATGTCTGCTCTTGGGCTTATGGGTACTTTTTACTTATTTTTTTATTAAAAGTGATAATGCTAAGGAGAAGTCTAGGTGGCAGAGGAATTACAGTAATGAAACAGTGAATTGGAAGGTAAAAATTATGTCTGTCAATTTCAGCTCATTCTGACGCACCATTATATTACATACTATTTGCTTTAATAGTAATAATAAAAAAAATCCTGTGGTGAGTATTGTGAGTTTTAAATTTGTCTGTGGTTGTGCTCTGTTTTCTTTGAAATATAGGGAGTACCAGGCACCCCAGGTCTGCCAGGGCTCAGAGGTGATCCTGGATTCCATGGATTTCCAGGCATAACAGGTACTGTTTTTGTGCATTACTCTCTGGATGCAAATACAATGACTATGATTCATATTTCACGGCACGCAGATGTTTACTGAACTCCTCGTCGCCCCAGACTGTTGGGATTAATACAAATAGAACCTCAGTTTCAGTGAATAAGGAAAATTCCACCAGCACCCAACCCAAGGGGCTTAAAAAGTAAACCCTACCTTAAGGATAGAAATTATAAGATAAAAACAGAAGCAGCTTAACTGATGTGCGTTGGGTTGGAGGATGGAGAAACCACATCAGTATCAACAGTATTGTTTTTCTTTGTTTCTTTTACTGTGTGCATGTGTTATAATTGTACAAAAGTAGAAAAATCTGAAAGAATATTCACCACGGCTAATGGGGAGGGCAAGGAAATTTTTACCTGTAGATCTAGGCTGTTTTTTTCTCCCTATTGGGCACACTTATTATGTTTTGGTCAAAAACATTGAAAAAAACTATAGTGTAGGTGTTTTTAAGTTCAAATTTTTCACACACATCCATTTAAACTTCAAGTTTCAGAAAATAATTCTCTAATGTTCCATAAGTGGGTATGACCTTAAATAAAGTTTTGAATATTGGGCTTATTGTCTTAGCTGATTAAATCCTCTGGTATTGTTTTAGTGGAGCAGGGAATCTGTTATCACAGACTACAGAGATGCTGTCCAGTAGGGGTAGCCAAGGTGAACAAAGCCGTATTTCCGTGAAGGAAAACCTTTTCCAGGTCCAAGGGAGGACAAGGTGGAGTTCAGAGGCAGCCTTTTCAGTGTTTCAACCACTGACACTGCCAGGAACAAATTATCTAAGAATGAATCAAAACAAATGATTCTGAAGAGTCTCACTAGACATTGGGTGGGTCAATCGTAGCAGGTTACCTGGGAAAAATGCGTACCACCTCTCACTCCTCCAAGTCTCAGAACAGGCGTATCTGAGATTTGAAAAAGTATACAAAGGTCTCACTAAAGAAAGAACCATTCCAGGAAAATATTTAGAGAAATTTGGGGCAGCAGATTCATAAAATCAGTTCTTCTGAGGTATGTCCTATAAAATACATCCAACTGCTCTCTTAGATTTCAAAACTAGACTATCCATCAGCTGGCACTATTGATGAGTTTGCACTTCTTTATTTGTAAAGTTTTAATCCCCCAAAGGAAAAATATTTAGGCATCTTCTGGTATATAAAAGTAAATATTAACACCTTCCTCAAGTTCAGATATCAAGAGGAAAATATATAGCATAGTTGCCTTTTGGTAATATATAATTATTTTATTGTATTTCTTCTATGTATATCATATTTAGTATTAAAGTCTTTATAAGTAATCAGAGGTAATGTTCACACTATTTCAAGATTTTTTTAAGAGTATTTCTCTAAACCTGTCATTCTTGGTAAACTTTTATTCATGTCAAAAACTGTTTGGAAGATAAATTTTACCACTTTGATAATGCAAATATTTTATATGTGTCCGTGAGAGTTCCTAATGTAACTAACTTTGGGTAAAGCTAGAGTAGTAATAAGATGAGAAAGTAGGTAACTGTGACAACCAATATAATTCCCCAGGAGTGCAAAATAGGTTTTTAATGTCACTTTGTATTTTTCCTTAAATATTAAATTGACTTGGTTTCTGAACTTAAAAAATGAACTCTTAGGAACTTTCCCCCTTCAAAGCTAAAATATAGGTTCTTAATGCCTACTTCTAGAATATATTTTTGAATCGACACTAAACATGACAGTTGGGTTCCAAATGAAATGCCAAACCCATGTGAGTATAATTAAGTTGTACCCATTGTCACAGAGCTCGTAACCTCCAAGTCATGACCTCTGGTATCTATCCTTAGAGTTGTTCATCAACCTGAAAGCTAGGAAACCCATTGTTCTACGTGGAATCATATTGCTGTTTATTTGTTTTTAAGGAGAAAAGGGTAATCCAGGATTTCTGGGACCAGTTGGACCTCCCGGGCGAATTGGACCCAAAGGACGACCTGGTAAATATTATTTCCTTGGTATTGCCCTCCATGAAGAAAGGGTAACTCATTAGTGACGCCATCGTCTTCTTATGCTCATGTTAATAGGTGTACGTGGAGATCCTGGCACAGTGACAATCATCTCCCTTCCAGGAAGCCCAGGGCCACCTGGCCCAGCTGGAGAGCCAGGGATGCAAGGAGAACGTGGGCTCCCAGGGCCGCCAGGAAGCCCAGGTGTGGGACTGGCAGCCTTGACTTTGGTCTTTAGGAGGCAATTGAACTAAAATTCCTGTAAAGTGTTTTGGAAGCAAATGACACAACTCACACAAAATGTTACCTACTATAGTAGTTTTTTACCATTAGTTTTAGGATTGAGCTTATTTTACACAACCAGCAAATAAAAGACCTTTTGAATGTAATTGAAAACTTGTGCGTGGTAGAAATTTGAGCAAATACACTTTAGGGCACTTAGGAGGTTTTTTTTTTTTTAAGGTAGAAGTTTTGTTTACCTTCTGTGATCACCGTCAGTCTTAGAGAGCTCTATTTCTAAAATGATTGCCTGAATAAACTTGAGTTTTATGTGTTTATACTTTTGTAACACTTTGTATAGTGCTTGGAAGAGTGCAAATGTATACTTAGTCTGATGAAATTTTTTTAAAATATTGGTGTATGGAAATGAACTCTCCCTTTATGTAGGTTTAGCATATTGTAGTAGACTTCTGAATGAACTTGTTATGTTCTAAGTTCACTTGGATCACCTGGGAGATAAGAGAGATATTACTACTTTGACCAAAACAAAGACATAGCAAGTTCCAGAACAACATAAATCAAAATAGCAGTACAATTTTAAACTGCTGTATTTCAAATACACCTAGTTCATTTTGAGGATATTTTTTCCCCTGGGAAGTACAGTGTAACACGTTGGGTGACCAGCTCTCCCAGTCTGCTCATTTTGCAGGACTTCCGTTGTGGAAGCTGGGGAAGTCCCAGGTGAACTGGAATGGTGGGCCACTCACCCTTTACCCTATAGTACAATTCAGTGCAATGTTGGGGTTTTTTTGCCCAGGACCCTGTGGGCCAAGAGGTAAACCAGGCAAGGACGGAAAACCAGGAACTCCTGGTCGAATTGGAGAAAAAGGCAACAAAGGCTGCAAAGGAGAGCAAGGTAAACAAACAGCTGACTTATTTCTCTCCCTGGAGAAGTGTGTTTCAATATACAGCGAAGTCTTGTTTGGATATGTGACTACGAGAGTAATCCAGGTCTTTCAATTTGTGTTGTTCAGATTAACCTAAAAGCTCAGGGCAAAACGTTCATTTGGAAAATGAAAACTCAAGTCACTGGAATATACCTTTCTTCCTCTCTTAACTGAGCAGGTATACTCCACATTGTTAGCCCGAAGACAAATAAACCTAATGAACCACTAATTCTATTTTCAGAAAGGCTTATACTGTTTTTAATTATTTATAGGAGAATTTAGTTAATAATGCCTACTTATAGGAGTGGCACATAAGTACCTAGCTAGGAAAATATTGTCTTGATATGAGTAGAAGAGCCACTTAGTATCCTTACTTAGGAAAGCCATCTTTTAACTATACCAATCTTGAATACAACTCAGCAACTCATGTGTATAATGAAAAAGGGCCTCAGATATTTCAGTTTGAACATAAGCTATATGTGTCAATTTGATAAACCTGGATCAAAATCTATCTTCAGCAAAACTTTTCCAAGTATCTTCTAGAAAATACCTAGATGTCTAAATCTAGTCTTCTAGGATTGCTGACTTTGTTAAAGTAAGAAAAAAATTCTAAATGTGATTTCCCAATTTATGACCAGATCTACAAAGACTAGAGATTTAAATCTTTAGAAATGCAAATACAGTGCTAATAATATTAATCATAATATTCATCCCATAATCATTCATGACTTACTATTGTCATGAGTGTACTTGAGAGCACTATTAATCACTCAATTTTCCTTAAAACATGTTTTTCAAAAATGTCATATTGGGGCTTTAACAAGTCTTGTGAAAAGTGCTGACGTCTGAGCTGGGACTAAACTGGGGCACTGTATGACTCCTTGGCATGGTCATTTGTGGGCAGTGATACCTCCCTTGACTCAGCAGGCCAAAAATCCGCGTCTGTACCTTCTCTGCATTTTCTCGGGGCCCAAGTCGTGTTGAGGCGGGGGTCAGTGTACTGTGGCAGTGGAAATGGATCAGGGGTGAAGGGTGGCAGCCAGCACCAATATCGTAATAGCTATTCAAGGAAGAAAAGGAGAGAAAGGAGAGCTCACTGGTCCCTATTTAGAAAGGGACAAATGTGTATTAGCCTACTCTAAGTACAGAGAAAAAACAAAGCATAAAGCATATTTACTTTGGTTTTAACTCATATAAATAAATTAACCCTTATCAGAGTAAAATAAAGGTCTCTTCTGTTATTTGCCATACTAAATGATCAAAAACTTCCTTGAACTTTGCATCTCTAAAAAGAAATTCCAATGTTTTCTATAATTATTGAGTTTATCAAAAGCACATGTAATTTTTATTACCTACTTGAATAGACCTTCAAATTGTAGATACTTTATTTCATTTCATTTCATGTTCCCTACATGGTAGGAGGACACATTAACTTGTTTATAATAGATGTGCATAAGGCCTACCAGATGCAGACCACTGTGCTAGACCCCACGGGGGAACACAAAGATAAAGAAGTCTGATCTCAAAAACCTCATCATAAGACACACACAGATTCGATAATAAGAGGCACTGTGTGTTAAACCAGTTAACATTTAATAATATTGTTTGGCCATCTTATAAGCCACTCTTCTTTAAGACTCCTGTGTTTGGGGCTTAGCAGATATACGTACATTTAGTACTTTGGAAAAACATGTTTGAGGTTCTCTGTGTGTTGCAACCTGTATAATGTGTTTTCTAAAGGACCACCTGGATTGGATGGACGACCAGGTTTGAAGGGGAAACCTGGAGACACTGGACCCCCTGCAACAGGGACAACGATGAGAGGCTTTATTTTCGCTCGGCATAGTCAGACCACAGAGATTCCTTCCTGTCCTAAAGGGACAGAGCCACTCTATAGTGGGTTTTCCCTTCTTTTTGTTCAAGGAAATGAACAAGCCCATGGACAAGACCTGGGTAATGTTCCATTACTTCCTAGTTTCCAATCACTTTATTCCATATGAAGATTGTACACTTTTATAGCCGGAGGTACTTCTCTCTAAAGTTAAGTGTCAACAACCTTGAGTATCTTATAGCACCTTTTAAAGAGAGTATATAAAACAACATTGGCATAATGTCTAACTCTCAGTCTGGAATGTAAAGTTCCCGGAGGAGTCCGGCTCATGAATGCCAATCTAGCTTGTCCTGGTCAACACAAAACATTTTCACTTAAATCTTCTGTCTGCTTTTGAATCTTAAAAAAAAACATGTTTTCGAAAGCAGTGTCTGCTTATTAGTTATTACGTACATATGAAGAATTGGGAATACTTTGAAATAAGACATTTTTCCAGCCGACTTCTACCAGTCCTCAAGTAGACTGACTAGAAAGGGCCATAGGAAGTATTAAGGGTGGAAGGAGGAGGATTTGCTTGCCTGTTAGACCTTTGATTTTTATCATTACTAAAACTTTCCAATAACACATTTTGCAAGCAATTTGTGTTGTCTTTCTCTAGTTTTTGCCATAGGTTATATTTTAATTAGCCTCTCTATAGTAATGATACTCAAAATAATCTTAATGTACTAAAAGTGATACCCAGTCTGATGTTTCCATAGGAACTCTTGGCAGCTGCCTGCAGCAGTTTACCACAATGCCATTCTTATTCTGTAACATCAATGATGTATGCAATTTCGCATCTCGAAATGATTACTCATACTGGCTGTCGACACCAGCTCTGATGCCAAGGGACATGGCTCCAATTACTGGCAGGGCCCTGGAGCCATACATTAGCAGGTAAAAATCCAATCCCTTAGTTCTGGGACAGGACCAGGGAATTGCTTCATTTGTAATGGAACGTAAGGCTGCATGCACGTCGCAGTGCCGAAGGTGGCGATGCACCATATTCTTTGTTTCATGTTACAGATGTACTGTCTGTGACGGTCCCTCGATTGCCATAGCCATCCACAGCCAAACCACTGACATTCCCTCATGTCCCCATGGCTGGATTTCACTCTGGAGAGGATTTTCTTTCATCATGGTAAGGAGGAAAGCAAGTTCATAGTAAAGATGACCTATAGACCCTTACATTGGGCTGGAGGAAATGTGGCTCCCTGGAATGCTGCTGCCTAACATCAGTGCACACAATGGTATATGGCAATTTGCTTGAAAATCTACTTTTTTTAAAAGTGTTTCTTTGGTAAATAATGGAGTATTTAAAAAAACAGACTTCTCAGGAGGAGATTATCCAAATTCTGTAAGACATTTAGGTGAATAGTAGCTACCGCATTGGTAATACAATGCCTATTTTTCAATGTGGCAGCTGTTTTACATAGATCCTCATAATCCTTATGAAAACCCTGCAAGGCAGTTTCTGTCATCTATAGTTTTATAATTAAGAATGAAGTAATTCCCCCAAGGTCTCACAACTAGAAATGGTAAAGCTAGGATGTGAACCCAAGTCTGACTGTTCCAAAATCATTATGCCTTGTACTGTGCCCCTTTGACCTTTGTATGAAGTTGGGAACTAAGAGCCAGCCTTTTAAGGAAAAAAATTCTCCAGATAAGTGCTAAAGGAAGAACTCTATCCGACCATCTGTTGGTTCTGAAAGCTGCATATACATGGTTCACGGTTATTCACATTCTGTGTAGCATCATTTATGATACATTATTCCCCCCTTCTTTACTCACAGATGTCCACTCATTCCATCATTAATTCAATAAGTATTTGCTGAAGAGCTATCACATGCTGTGACTATTCTAGGTACAAGGGATACCAGCAATGAATCTAAGTTCCTGCTCTGGTAGTTTATATTCCAGTGGGGAAAGTAGACGTTAAGCAAGAAGACAAAATCATAATAGTAATGAGCTCAGATGGCGGTCGGTACTGTGCAGGAAAGAAGGCGAGATAAAGAGGACTCGTGATAACGATGAGGTCAAGGGAAGTTTTTCAGAGGTTATATAGGCACAGGCTTGGGGGAAGGAGTATTCCAGGCTCTTGGTTCCTTTTTGATGACTATGCCTGAGCTTGGAAGGTTCCTGCAGAGTTAGCAAATCTGGTTAAGAAGCTTAAGAAGTTTAATTCATGCTTTCTGGTTTTTTTTCTTTTTTCCTTACTGTTTCTGTCACGGGGTGGGTGGTGGGGGAGAAGACAGCACTGGAAATTTGAATACTTAAGCACAGAATTCTTACTCAGATATTTTTATTGTGATAGTTTACAAGTGCAGGTTCTGAGGGCGCTGGGCAAGCGCTGGCATCACCTGGATCCTGCTTGGAGGAATTCCGAGCCAGTCCATTCATAGAATGTCATGGAAGAGGAACATGCAACTACTATTCAAATTCCTACAGTTTCTGGCTGGCTTCATTAAACCCCAAAAGAATGTTCAGGTAACTATTCAAAGTCAAGTTGAATCTGATGACTCAATTGCAGAACTATTCAAAGGTTGCCAGGTTAGATTTCGTTACCTGTGTATTGATGTACTCTCATTTTTTAAAAAAATCTCCCCATTGAGCCAATAAAATCCTGTTTAGCTTGCACTCCCAGTTTACATGTGTTCTAGAGTCAACAAGGAGCTATGGTTTTGCACCAATAAAGACAAGAAAGAAAAAAAGAGTGACTTTTAAATCAGATTTGCAGTTTAAAGGAGAAAATCACTCTGTTACAGTGTGAAGTAGATAAGACTGGCAATTAAGAACCAAATGAAAAGACTGTTGCAATAATCCAGGTGAGAAATGAAAGCCTGCATCAAGACAATAATAAATAGTAGAAATGGAAATAATGTAGAAAAAGGGTTTAGAGGGAAAAAAAAGTGACTTCTGTTATTACCAGATATATGTAAATACTCTCATGAATTTGTAGTAGATTAGCTACATGATCTGCTAATCCTAATTTACTGTACTGGAGACTTGTGACTAACAGGCTTTTTCAGGAGCAGCAGTTTTTATTACAAAAACGATGATCTGTAAATTTGCTTCAAGTGCTGCAGAAGTACAATGAAAATTATGAAATGTTGATACATATACCTTTTGGGAAATACACCTTCCATAATGAAGTTTAGATGAGCTACAATATTCATTAATAAAACTCAAACCCAGCAAATGTCCCCTTTTTAATCTATAAATTGATAAGATTTTTATTGTTGTTTTGTTGTGTCCATGTTTTTCTAGAAAACCTATTCCATCCACTGTGAAAGCTGGGGAGTTGGAAAAGATAATAAGTCGCTGTCAGGTGTGCATGAAGAGAAGACACTGAAGAAATAAAAAGAGAGTGGAACTGTTATTTTTCAGCCTAAATAACCAAGTAATGCCACACAACATGCATTTATTTAGGTATTTTTCTCTGACCAAACAATAGTGCCCTATGATGGCTTAGTACAAAGTTTCTATTTGAATCTGCATACAGCAAAGCATTTCTTTACAGTTAGTTCTGTGACCTTGTCTCTAAATCTGTGCTGTTTCAAAGTTTCCCACGGAAAGGCTGCAGACTTTTCACATTGTTTCCAATGCACCATCTAACTGGTGATTATATCAAGTTTGTTGCTACAAATTAACATCTATCTTGGATTCCCAATATTTGCTCCCTTCTATTGCAATCTTTGAGACCCAGCGAGGCTAAAGCTCTCTTAGATTGCCCCACCACCCCATTCCTGGAACTTTAGATCCTGGGAAGGGAAGGAGATGGAGGTTAAGTGGAGGAATCGTGAAGAAAGCTGGGCTGTCAGACCTGAATAACCAAAGGCCTATGGGAAAAGAATTGGACTAAGATTCATGGATATTCTCAGGCTTTTTCAAACATACCCAAGACTAAGGCCAAAATGGAGTTCCCTGAATGGTTTTGTTTTATATTTTTTTCAAAGATTTTTTTTTGTTTGTCCATGAATTCATTTCACTGCAGCATTATCACCTGTTTGTATTCAGAGTAGACAAAATTTTTAGTCTTGGTAAATTAATTTTAATAGGATATTTTTTATACACATAATCTGAAATCTGATTTCATTTCTTTTACCAGCACATCCACACAAATAACAAGGATACCACTTATTAGATGTGCAATTCATCCCCATCCCCATAAATATTGGTGCATACCTTATGTAATTGAGTAGTTTCAGGAATCCATGAAAGAACCTGAGGCATTTGTTGGCTAATCAGAATATTTTTCCTTTGCTCTAAATATTCCATTTAACCTGAGTATTTATAGATTTACTCTTTGGTTACTTCTCTAATTATTCTTTTGTAAAAACATGTGTTTTATGTGTTACATATCCTTACAAATCATATTGGAAAAGTCTATTGTGTAAAAATCTTAATATACAAATTATATAGCTTGACAGATGTATGTCTTCGAACTCAGTTTCAGCATGTTGATACATTCCCAGGATGACATAATTCAATTTAACAAGCATCTTATTTAGCACTAAGCCATGCCCCAGGCACTGTACTAAATTACAGAGATACTAAGAGGTAAGACGTTATTTCTGATTTAATATCCCAGAAAAGGTAACTTATTGTTTCTGTTAGGAATCCCACATATCCGAGTTGCATTTTCCCCCTTTTCTTTTTTTGTCACTGTTCTTATATTTCAACATCATAATTCAGTAGGCCTCAAGAAAGGTTTAAAAATAAGATCTATGCCCAGGGAAAGCCCAGGACTTCTAGATTCTCTTGGGCATCACTGAAGCCAAGGGAGGGACAATGTTAAGAACAAAGATCTGATAAACATTCAAATCTATCTATACTGGATGGTAGTACTATTTGATGAGTCTCAGAGGCCACATATCTTCAGACAAAGCTCTGAAGTTGCACCTTCATCCACCTAAGTGGAGTTGGTGGTGCTGATATTTAAATTCAGGTTCTTGCTTCAATCTCAGTTGCTTTGTAAGTGAAAATGTGACCTCAGGGGACAGCGCAGACTGTGACCACCATTTGAATCCTTCACTGCTCACATGACTGCTGTCAAGCCATTTTAAAATTTAAACTAAGAAGTGCATTTTACTTAGATTATTTACTTAAACTCATCTAACACTGACTTTTTTGCTCTAAGAAGATCCTACTCTCCTAACTGTACTAAAAGGGCATAAAGAGCCAGCTGATCTCCACAAACCCTCTGTAAGCCAGTAGTTCTCAAAGTGTGGTCCCTGGACCAGCTGCAGAAGCAGCATCTGGGAACATGTTACAAATGCAAATTCTAGGGCCTCTGAGGGTGAGGCCCATAAATCTGTGTTTTAACAAACCCACCAGCTGCTTTGCAAGGCACTCTGAAAATTAAGAAAAACTGCTCTAGGCAAACAACCAAGAAACAATTCTACAGGCAGTTACCAGGTACAGCCGGCTACCACTGCTCCAACATGCCCCTCTTTAAGGCCCAAAATCACAAATGGCCTTAAGATACCTAATTTTACTAATAGGTAAAAGCCCTAGATTGGTGCTAATGCCCAATGACTGGCCTCTGCTTGTTCCTAAGGCTCCATCTTCTCTTACCCTTTGATCAGTGTTTAACTTCTGAGGAAGACAAGTTGATGCTAAAACCTTAAATTCCAATGAAGCCATGTTTACAGTTGCTCAGTCATCCTTTTTAGACTGAGCATTAAAACATAGCTCATGTGCATTACTCTCCAGATACTTATGAGTAGCTATAATATTATGAAAATTTAACTCTGTAAATGTAATGTCAATAACTTGTTTCTTTAAAATTTGGGGCTTCAACTTTGGAATTTCACAGCATGCTAAAATAATAGATTTCTCAGAGGTCTCTTTTTGCAAGATAAACATTGTTAGGTAACTTATTTGTAAAAATATATAATAATGCTAAATTTGAATATTATTGCTAATTTAACTTAGAAAGATTTTTCTATGCATCAAATGTAACTTACTGCTACTAAACTTAATTTAATGTTTACTCTATAGCCAAATGAAATATATTTAAATATGTTGAATATTTTATATCATTATATCCTGACAAAATTACAATATTGTAATGTACTAATATTTCTATAATTATAGCTAAAATATTTTATTGCATTGTCTAAGAATAAAATTGAAGTAATTATATCTGGTAATTTTTTTTCAGAAGATAAATTTTGGGGTGATTGTAAAAATACTATGAGTTCACTGTAAAAACTACAGACAACAGTTATGAAAAAGAAAATAAAAATTGCCATGATCTAACCCTTCACTCCCACCCAAGATGATTAAACTATGTACCCTTTAGGACATTTTTCTTGTAAATGTATTTTTTAATGAACATGGAATAAAAATATGTTGTTTTTTAATTTTTTTTAACTTAATATACTCTGGACATATATTCATAAAATAGACAAGAACTAATCATTATTTATATCATAATCCATACACCATAGATTTACTACATAAGTGAATGAACCCCCAAATGAGGGACCCTTAATTTAGTTTTATGTGGATATCTGTACATATTTCAGTTCACATTTGTCCAGTTACTTCCTCAGGATAAATCTCTACAAGGAGAAATGTAGAATCAAAGGACTCACACAATGTTAGGCAATATACATATGCAAAATATATGCAAAAATGCTCTGCAGAAAGGTTGTTTTAATTTCCAGCTGCATCAGCAATGTAATGAAAACACCCATCTCCTTATGCTTGTACCAATACTGGATATTGCTGCTCTTTTACAGTTCTGCCTATCTTATTTTAATTTACATTTTGCTCATTATCAGTGATGCTGAATATTTGTCACTTTAATTAGTATTTGTTTTTTTCTTAATTAGTATTTTTTTAGTGTTTTTGTTTTCCTATGAAAGTGCCTAATCATATCTTTGCTCATTTTCTACTGAGGTATTTAAGGAATTCTTACAAATCAATAAAAAAGCATGCAGACTTAAGAAATTATGAATAGTATATTTTGATGTTTCTCATTTATAATACAAATATTCCTCCCTTGAAAACTATTTATAAAATTTCAAATGTAGAGAACTGGTAAAGAAGAATGCTTTTAATATACAAAATATGAAATTTCGTAGGTAAGGAACTTTCTGGCTATGTTACATGCCAATAAAGATATAATCAAAGGAAGAGACAAAATGAATGAACAGTGATCCTGAGTAATAACTCTAAGACCAAGAAAAGTGCTCTGCAGATAAATACTTTATGAACATTCCCATAATTGGACTAAAAAATTTAATTTGAAAACATTTTGAGTCAAAAAAATTTACTAATTCATTTAAATGAACTTATTTTTACTGTTGGCAAGTGTAAGAATGAATGCTGTTTTGAGCTCATTCTCTCTATGTATAAGCGTTTGGAAGGAAAATCTTGACAGTCTCTAATGGATTCGTAGCAACTGATTGGCAGGGCATGAGCTGAGCACTCAGAGTGCCTGATTCACATCACTCTCATCCCAGCTTTGCCCATTGGAAACCAAGAGAGAACCAAAGGAAAATAACTGTTTTGGAATAACCAGGCTAAATTTAAACATTCAGATAAATATGACCCTTCCTTGGTTTTTGTGGACTATTCGGTCGTTCTAAAATTGCTGACATAGCTCAAAACCTTCTTAGAACTATTGCTTTGGAATTGTCTTCATTTCCAGTTTATCAGCCAAACAAGGAAATAGGCCTCATCACACATCCAAGCCCTCCAACATGCTCTGTTTGACTCCACAGCAGGTATATTCATATGAATGAAACATAGACCTTGATCTCAAACACAGAACTTAATCTGGCAGAGGAAAATAAGGCAAATACATAAGTAATTATTATATTGGATAGAATGTGGTTAAGTGCTGTAAGAGATGACAAATAATGGTTCAAAAGTTGGAGGCCTAAGGAAAGAATTCATAAAAGAGGGCCCATTTTAGGTGGTCCTTTAAGGGCAGTTAGGATGTCAAGAAGCAGAAGGTGGTCAGAGGCAGGATGTCATTCCAGCCGGCAGGTATAGCATGGATAAAAGTAAGCAGTTAGGAAAGCAAGAAGCAGACTCAGAAAATGACTAATGATCAAGAAAACATGGAATATAAGAACATATATGGAATATATAAGAATACAGGAAATATATGTGTTCTCTATATATGTATATATCTCCTATGTATACACACACATACACAGTGCTAAATAAAGTGACATAGTAGGAGGTTAGGGCCATATTAGATAAGTCTAGAACACCAGGCTATTTGTACTGCATTGGTTGGTGTCCAGATCCAGTGAAGATTCTGAGCAACAGAGTACAATGATCACATAAATGGTAACCTGGAAGATCCAGTATATTATATACTGCTCTTGCCAGGCTATTTCATAGTTTCAAATGTTTTTAACACTTATTGGACTGCTTTTGAGGACTACTGAATTTGTAGAGAACTACAAATCATCCATTTCTTTTAAACTTGGGACTTCAAATTTGGGATGTCACGATTTGTAAAACCAGCTTCTTTGTAGATCGATTGTCTAGGAAGAATTAGAGAAAGAAAGATTGGAGATGGGGAGGTCAATTAGAGGGTTAATAGCCCAGCTAGCTAATGGGCAATGGTCTACCAGTGGAAACACAAAGAACAGAGAGAGTGGGCAGTTGGCATGGAAGTGGAGAATCTAAAGGACCAGCGACTTGGGAGACAGTGAAAGATGACTTCAGCATTTTGATCCTTAGCAACCAGAAAAATAATCTTCCTATTAACTGGAAAAGCAAATTTAGAAGAAGGTATCTTAATTGGGAAGAGAGAGAAAATTCAAGTTTGAAACCCTGTTGGAACCAAGGACACTTCGAAAGCACTGGATAGAACTAATGCAACAGGATGATACTAAATGGATGCGCTAATTTATTTATATTTATATACCTCTTTTTCCACAAAAGATTTGAGGCAACTATGAATGCATAGATAGTCAAAGACGAATTGAATTATAAGCAGGAATGTCTACATTAATGATTGTAGAGAAGGAAGACCCGCCATGAAGCTTTATCATAAGAAACAAAGGCGCTACCTAAGGTTTACCTTGCAAACAAGAGGCTCTCAAAGATCACAAACTAAGCGTGAGACCAACACTTACGCTTAAGTGTTACAATCTGAGGGTAACACTTTGCCCACAACAAAGATGTCTCCACATCGTCGTCGCACTGCTCCTGCTCCTGTGCGTTTGCTTCACATCCGCCCTTTCCCGCATCACATGACCACAAACCTGCCTCAGCTACGGCTCCCGGAAGAGGCCAGCTGCGGCCGTTCTCGTGTCTCGCCGGCCCACTGCGGGCTGCTCCGGCCGGTGCCTCGCCGGGCGCCTCCGTGCGCTCGTCCAACGGCCTCTGAGGGCGCCCACCCGAAGGCCGCGGGAGCCGGCGGGGCGCTGCCCTCGCCGGGCACCCTTCAGCGGGCCCAGGGGTGAGTGCTGACGTTTTGCCGACCCGGGACCCGCGGCCCGGGCCGAGTGCCGGGCCTAAAGCCGCGGCCGCGACCCTCTGGCAGACGGAGGGACCCGCAGTGGCCCTGGCCGGAGTCCCGACGCCCGGGACTCTCGCCTTCAGCCCTGGCCCTCCTCATCCTCAGGGCCTTGCCGCCGCCCCGGGGCCCGGAGGGAGCAAGGGAGAGCAGCACACTCGCCTGCAGACGTTTTTGGGCTAACCTCTTCACCCTGTTTAGTTCGACGTCTCGTTTTGTCGACAAATTTAGAGTTTCCCCTCTAGAAACCAGTTTGGAGGTCGGGGGACACGAGGGGTGTCCGGAGAGCTTGAGCGCGGGGCTTTGCTGGTGGTCTTCCCTCACCCTCCCCGGCCAAGGCCCTGGCATCTTTCGGTGTGACCTTGAACCAGGCGCCTGCTGTCTTCAGAAATAGTTTCTTGTTTGTTTTTACTTTGTGGAAAACAAATCTTCGAAAAGAAAGGCCTGGGAAGCCCGGGCATCCGCGGGAGGCCCCTGGTCGAGTCGGGCTGTGGGCATCCTGTTCCCGCAGGTGTGGATGACGGGAGTGGCTCCTTGGATTTCCTCCCGGGAGCTGGGAGGCTGCAGGAGAGCCCGGGTCCCCGATCCGCGGAGCCTCCGCCTCGCTCTGCAGGACGAGGCCCCCCTTTATGATCTGGAAGAAAACCCCCGCAGTGTCCCACAGCGTCAGAGCTGGGGGCAGTTTCGAAGGGGGTGGTGTCTTTTCACCGCGAAGACAAAAGCCTTGGGGCCCTTGTTCCCAAATAAAGAGTCAGTTCGGGTCTCTCCCTCCCTGAGACACTTCCCTGAGGATCTTAAATGTTTTCTTTCCCTAGATGAAAAACATTTGTTCCTGGGTCAATTTCTTTGGCAAATGAGATCCCAAAGGAAAATCCCTTAGTGAAATGGGTTTGGATAGAATCCGAACGATTTAGTTGCACTTGACCGTCTTTTCCCACGTAATTGAATCGTACATGGGATCTGTTATCTTTTTGGTTTCAAACGCTTTTGAATTGGTTTTGCTATTTCTAAAAGGAAATTGTGTGTTCTCTGCCTTCCTGTCTAATAGGGCTGCCTTGTTATAGGATTACAAAATTTAGCTGTTGCTCTCATCCCTTCTGGTGTTGAAACTTGTTTTCTGTGGACTTGTAACCTTATTTTAAAATAATTATATATTAAGTTATGAGCGATTTTCTTAAAAATCTACAATTAATCCTGGATTGCTACACCCTGATTTTCTAATACACCCAATTATTTTACTTGCTTGTAAAGAGAACTGAAACAGGGTGACCTATATGAAAACCTTGAGCTAGGTTCACATCATAAGATAAAGGACAGGACTTTCTGTTTTTTTTGTAATTGGAGAATTATGTGAATCTTTGCAACCACAGTCAGTTTGACCCAAGTTGTTTCTGTGACTTCATAGGCTATTTCTCTGGGTTCCTGTGTTCTAATACAGAAAATGGGAAAGTCAAGCTCAAATCTTTTTGTCCCAGAATTGGGCACTTTTCATTAGTGGGATGTGACTTGACTCTAGGTGGTATATAGATGAGGGTTTTTGTAACAGTTTTTGTCAGGTGTATTTATATATATAAATATATGTACCTCACGTCCATGGTTTAAGGTAGTGATGTAAAATTTCCTATTAAAATACATACATTTTTTAAGTTGAATTAAAAGATTAAATGTAGCTAAGAGCAAATGGATTGTGTGAGTATAGAAAAAGCCGTGAAGTTGGTAGGTAAGTTACTGATGTTTGTGAACCAGTAGGCTTAGAAAGTAGAGATCTCCGATCACCTATGATTCTGAGAGGGATTCTAGTTAGATAACAGAGAATCATTTACTGGTTGCCTGGTAGATTCTGAGTGACAAAACTTAATGGAATTAGTATCTTAA